CCACTGCGGGAAAACCTTTTTCTGAGGCAGTGCCTTGTTCAAGTAGTCAGTTATCATTGGTGAAACAAAAACAGATAGAGATTTGATTGTGGACATGGCTCACGTTCCCTCTATGTCAAGCCTACCACTGAATCTTATCAGCCACATCCCCATTCAGTTTGCATCAGCTGAGTTGAATGAGCACTGTGTGTGTTTGCTTACAAGATCTCCTTTCCCCATCCACAGCTAAACATGGCAGCTGAAGCCTGTGTTACGGAATAGATACAGAAGGCTGGATTGTTTGAATAAAGCGCTAAATCAAGCAAGCAGGTGACTGACAGAGGCTGTATATCACTATGGAACAAAACAAACGTATAAATGAATTCCTGTCCGGTTTGTGGGCCCAGAAATCTTGCAATGGCATCTCAGCGTCTGCTGCCGCCTGCTTACTGTGACAGCAGCTTTCATAGTTGGATTAAAAAGGTCAAACAGCTGCTAATGATGGACCCATAATCAGACCTTAACATGTTTTAGATTTGACATATTAGACTTCTTTTACAACCACAACATGATTATATAATGGACAACTAAAGACAAACTCAACCATCCGCCACATGTGATGAAATGCTGTGTAATATAATGTTATTCTACAATCTAGTTATATGAATCAATTAACTGCTGCATTTTATCATGACAGACTATTTGCCTTGTAAAATAAATTTCTATAGATAATCATTAAGCAAGTTTTTTTTTTAAAGTCTGTAATGATTACAAGCAGCTCTTACCATGCGTATGCTTACAGGACTGTTACATGTGATGATTTAATTCATCGCCTGGTGATGGAAACTAAATAACGCCTATGGATCACTCAGTGAGAGCAGAGATTACTTATAAGATTATAGTCTTTTCTCTTTCCACTTCTGAAGAATTAGTTGTCCTCAAAGCCAGTGAATGTAGTGTCCGTTCTCATACAGTGTGTCTTGTGCACTCCCTGTTTTTTTTCCCCAAAGTGAAAGTTAAGTTAATTATTAAGACGCACTCTTTTTTTTTTTTTTTGCCAATAGATTGCGCTGTGGCATTTCAAAGACTACTTATGTGAATGTGTTCAGGCCGGCTCAGTAAATGTGAAATATGAATATATATTTAAGGTTTCATTTCATAAAAATTTTCATCACAAATTCACAGGCAGAAAAGGGGGCTAAGGTCATAAGACCCTTATAGCCCCAGAGAAGACTTTAATATCCTTACGTTGCTCTGGACAAAGTGCAGTCTATGCTGAAGTCCTACTTAAAGTTATTTTTTGTTTATTTTCACTGTTTCATTTGAGAGTTTTTTTTTTTTAAATCTCATTAACACTATCTACATCAAAGGGGGAGATGAAGTTCAGGATTCTGTATACGCAGGGTAACAGCAAAGGGGCAGTGAATGTTATCTACGATAGAAACTTGATTGGTGATAAGTCAGTTCCAAGAAACACTCTGAAAGGCAGTTCATATTTGTCTTCACTATACTTTCCTGATGTAATACTGAAGAAGTCTCCATTAAGCAAACTTTATACAGAAGATGAGCAACATCCACATTGTTTTCATTCTCTGTGGTATTAATCTCAAATTGTTGTTGGCATGAAAGCATGTAGCAGGTAATGCCTAATCCCTTAAATATTAAAAATATGCTGATGCTTATCTATATAAATAAGGCTTCAAGGACACACAATATACACAATCACAATAATCCCCCAGTAGCTTCACCTCTAACACTGAGAGAAGGCTATTCAGGACCAGATGGTAGAGGGTTGCAACAGTTTTGCTTTCAGATGTCAGTGCAATGTAACCTCCACATGACTTTAAACATAATGGGACATGTCAGTGTCACCCAAAAATGTCACCTGCCCTGCCTCAACAAAAGCACAGGTCTCAATGAAGTTAATCTGATTTGAGGGTTTTCTTGTGTCTTTTTTTTTTAAATAACTGAATATTGTATGAATAAAAATTAAAGTTTGTTGCTGTTGGTAGGACTGTTTAGTCCTCCAGCATCCATCAGAAAACAAGATAATCAAAAACTACCATTCTGGGAACCCAAAAGGTTTATCTTCTGGTTACCTCAGACTGCAATATTACCAGGTTTTCAGAAAACAATATAACTTACACAGCAACAAGTATCAACAGCTGTACTGTTTGACACACAATTTCTTTTACCTAAATTAGACAAAAGCAAACAGATTTTTGTTTAATATAAAATGTCCACAGAGGAAGGTTAGATTATGTGTACTCCAATTTATGAATTTAATTCAGAAAACTGAAGTTTACAGTACAGTTTCAAACTGTTTATTACTATAGGTGTACTGTAACTAGGGTGTAGCCTATAAGATAATACTATCATACAAAACACTGAAAACAACTGTTATGCATTATTCAAATGTCATCTTGCTCAAATATGGGGGGCCGCCCCTCTCTACACACAGAACATGCACTGTACATACATGTAGGGCCTCATCATCTATGGGGGGCCTCATGATTGTGGAAATGTAGTTTTATTCACACTAGGTTCTGCAATAATAGAAATATTACTATGGTAATGAACATAGAGCATATTAGATACATAAACTTTCCCTGGGCATCACACCCAGATTAACAGTCAATATATTTTATTATTTATTTATTTTTGGAGAGAGACAACACGATCAATCAATAAGTGCACACTCCACTTGCTCTGCCCCTCTCGTTCACTGACAGCCGCACTGTGCTGAAAAGCAATCTTTTTATGTCCCGCTTCTAAATATGTTGGTTCTTCTTTGACCTGCCAACTTAAGCCGTTGTTTATGTAATGCAGATGTTTGTATAGTCTGTGGTTTGTACCGGATGTAATTCCATACATACATTACATACATTATTGGTTTTGATCATTTTGATATGCCACTAAATGAACTCCAAGCGTCCTCCTCACACAACTCAGCTGCTGTATTAACAGATCGCTGTTGAAAAGGAATTAAAACTTGAGTTATGTGTTAAGGTGATGACAAACTGATGATAGAGAGAGAATAGAGAAGAAGCACAGTAAGAAAGGAACAGAAAGAGGTGGGGCAGGCGGGTATGTTTAAGAAGATATAGGAGGGATAGGAGGTATGTGTGGGGGTTGAGAGGCAACCTGAGCAAGGTGAGCAGATTTTTTTTTTAGTAAAACAAATATAAAGTGGGATTAACAATGTAAAAATAACCTAATGGATACAGTATTATAAGCTACATTGCAAATATTAAGCATAAGTGGCAATTCAAAATATGTATTCTTTGTCAACTGCAACAAGAAATCCAAAAAGACATTTATAGTTTATTTATGAAAATTAATTTTTTGTTTATTTTATGTACAAGTTACTCTTTTGACAGACCCAATGGTCTGGCTGTTAACTGTATTATATTTTAAGGTTGAGGTTACTTGGCCACTTGGGCCAGGAGAAGCCATGTGGGCTACTAATGGAATTTTTTATCATACTTTTTAAAGTAATAATAAATGCTAAATTAGTATCTGTATAGGGTTCAAATAATGTTTCCTTGATGGCACCAAAAAAGGATTGTTTTTTGATCATATGAGTACTTAAATGGTGTTTTGTGACTGGCAGGTCTCCATATTTATATAAACAGAACAACTGAAACTTCAGGTCAACAGTTCAAAGGCATTTCTCTAAAAGGTATCCATGGTAATGTTGTTTGTTTCATAAAAATTATGAAAAGTCATTGTTGTGAAAATGGAAGGCAATTCTTGGAAGACTGTTCAGTTCTGAGTGGTTTTGGGAGTCTAACTAATCCAACCAAGAGATAATAATTGCATCAACTAGTTTTTCTGCATGGTTTTGTGACAGGATATGCCTGTTTTTAGAGATGTTGTGAAGGGGAACATGGCTGTCCTTTTATGCTGCAGTTGAAGAACATATCCTGATCAAATAACAGTCACAGATTCTTGTGGTGCTGGATGACAGGCTGATGTCACCGAAAGTCATATCATTAGACCGAGCACAAAAACCTTTGCCTTATCCGAGTTGTAAAGAAAAAGGTCTGGTAATCCAGATCCAAATGTCTTTAAGGCATGTTTAAAAACTGATTGACGTCAACTGGCCTCATTGATATGTGTTGTTGAGTATCATCTGCCTAATAATGAACATTTAGTGAGTGCTTCCTTATAATATTACCCAGAGGAAGCATCAAAAGGTGAAAAGAATCTGTGCAAGCAATGAACCTTGTTGAATTCCATGGTTAACCTTGGTGTGCAAAGAAAACGTATCATTATGTGTACAAACTGAGATCGATCTGATATATAGGATTCAAACCAACTTAAAGTTCCTGTAATGCCAACTTGTTGTTCTAGGCTCTGTAACAGAATGTTTCAAATAGAGCATTAAGAACTCCTGGTTCTCTGGCCCAGGGCAAGGCCAACTCCTGGTTCCACCTCAGCGGCCCACCGTACTCCTGGTATCCAACTGGAGGCCCTGCCTGCCCCTGTCTTAATGTTGAATATTGCCCTGCCCACTGTCTATCCCTATTGGTGGCCTGGCCTACACCTGTCCCTGTTTCTCCGTTGATTGCAAGGCTGAAACCTCCTGGCCGCCCTCCTTACCTGCTCTCCTCATTCGGTTTGCCTCATGGACGTCCTGCTCTACCTGTTTTACCATGCTCCTGGCTGCGCACTTGAACTTTTTTGGCCTCATGCCCTGAGTTCAGTCTGTATGCCCAATACATAGTCCTGAGTTTTAAAACCCTGCTACAGGCTAAAAGAAATACATGGCTCAATTGAGATATGACTCATAGCTTCATAACATGTCAGATAACATCATAAGACATAATGAGCATTGCTTCTAAAGAGTCATCATTTTGTGACTAACATGTCTGTGCTTGCTGCATCAACTTTTGAGTCCTCGTAAGCAGCTGTCTGACTATCAAAAATATGTGTTAATATAGCTTTTTGCCCATAGTTAGAGGACGTGAACAACATACATACAGGAGAAGAGCTAAAGAAACAAGAATGCTGCCACCAACTGGTTGATATTTTACTAGTCTAAAAGAAAATCAGTTTTCAAGTTTATTCCACACAAAATATATTTTTTAGATAAATTGTTATTTTGCTTCAAATCTGCATGTCAAGATGTATACTAACAAACAAATAACAAAGGCAGGCTTGTATCATGTAATTTTCTTGTGTATGGCACTGAGCTCAGTCCGAAGCATCTTAAAAGACGGCCTTTTTTTGGGGTCATACTGCCAGCAGCTGCTCATGATTCTGGAGATTTCCATGGGGCAGTTGTGTGGAGCTGGCATACGGTATCCTGAAAAACATGACAGACAATCACAACAGGTGAGGAGAACATCTTGGCTAAAAATATGTAAAACAGAAAGAAAAGGCATTATTGTCATGGAAGAGAAGGCCCATGGTTTAAGAGTGCCTTGTATGAGTCTTTACCTTTCTCAACCTCTTCTCTTGTTTGTTGGTTAGACATGCTCGTGTAGGGTGTCAGGCCCATAGAGAAGGTCTCCCACAGTAAGACGCCAAAGCTCCACACGTCACTATCTGTGGTGAAACGGCCTAAAAAAATCACCAGCAGAGGGCATTGTTGGCAAAGGCATAAGAATGATTAATTTACTATCAGCAAAGGCAACAGAAGTGTATCTGGTTGAGTATGCAAGGCAGGGGCTGATATAATTTACCATAGTTCAGGGCTTCAGGAGCCGTCCATTTGACAGGTATCTGTCTGAGGCCCCCCTCTGCAGAGTAAACACCGTCATCCTGCTGTCGTGACATCCCAAAATCACTGATCTTCACCAAGAATTTCTCTGCAACCAGACAGTTTCTTGCTGCCAAGTCCCTTAAGAACAAGACATGTCACAAAGAAGGATGTAAGAGGGATGTTTACAGAGGAAGATGAAAAACAGAGACAAAAAAGACTAAAACATCATGCTTTGTAAGAAGAAAATAGAGGTCAAAAAGGAGCCGGTAAACAAGTGTTCTTTTCATGTCTCTGGTGTATCATTTAAGGCAGTTTGACATACAGCATTAGAGGCTGAACAACTACCGAAAATTGCTCTGATCAGCCGTCGCCGGCCAAACAGTAAAGAAATCTTGTAATGAGGACGGGTGTCGCAAACTCATGTCTCCTCCAGAGCATCAACAAGCTCCACAGAGGCCTCTCTCAGAGCAACGCAATACCACAGAGGTTACAACAGATCCCTTTAAAGACAGTGTCTTCATAGAGCGAATTTGATCAGGAGTTCAAATCTTTCGTTTGGTTTGTCATTATTTTTCTTTTAATGAATGCTTTGAAAGAAAGGTTTTTAGAAGGCGGGGGTTTTCTATGTAGCCTTGCGAGGGTCTTAGCTAAAGTCAGGGTTGTTAGTCCGTTTCAAAATCTGCGTGAAAGAAGTTATATAAAAATAAATCATCACAAACATTTCAGCAGCTTTCATTAGCTCTCTCTCTCTTTTCCCACTACAGTACAAGTGTGAAACACAAAGAATCGTTTTAAGAGTTTTATATAACGTTGACTGATTCTCTTTCTAAACCACAGACTTTTACCCTCCAGCAACAGTGTAGAGAGATATCTGTTATTGTTGACTAAAATAGGATTGACAAGACACTATTTAAGCTTAATCTTATAAATATTTGAAATACTGGTTGTTTCGTAGAAAAGGAGGAATTATTGAAGAAATAATATTAAATATTTGTGTACTCTGTGGCTGCATTAAATCAATTATTAAAATTGAGTCACATAACCATTGAAGTTGTGGTTTTTATTCTGAGGAAAACGAATGAACTTAACTGAGGTCAGCAAAGCATTCATTCACATCTTCTGCCAACTGTACACCACTTTTGTCTCATTTCTTAAAAAAGACAAACAAACTAAAAAAGCCCCCCCTGCCCTTAGGCTTTCTGAACAGGTTTTCTGACATTTATTTGTGGCATTTGCAGTTTTAAGCCAAGATTTAGCTCATGTTCCTTATGTTTTGAAAGTAAATATGGAAAGGAAAGGATAGCATCCAACAAATGTACCGACTAAAATGCACAGTTGAATTCATTGCTGATCTGTCTTGAAGTAAAAAAACAAAACAAAAAAAAAAAACATTCAGTTGAGTACAGGTATGGATCCATCTTCCTATTCAAAGACTCAACAGCCTTTTTCCTCTGCTTTTTACTGTTTGACCGCTTTATGGGGAAATGTTGAACGGAAAGTACAGAGTGAAGTAAATGTTGGGTAAGTAACATGAAGGAATGAACATGTTTTTATATACAACAAAATACATTTTCACTGATACTATTATTATTTTCCAGCGCGCTGCTGTGCTTCATGTTTCCAGGGTTCTTTTAATCATAGTGGTTTTAGATCCACCACAAAGGAGAAATCCCCACATAAAAACACTGTCCTCTGTTCTAAGGACAATTTGTTTGTTTATGTTGTAATATCAATCTGTCTGTTAGAAAGTTGGCTTTTCCATGTTATATGTTTATAGTTTTCCTGCAGCCACATGTCTTATGTGTCCATGGGCAAGACGCTTAACCCAAAGTTGCAAATTGCTGTTTCGTCTGCATCTGCAGTGAATGAATGTGTATGAATTGGATTAGTTAATATGTTGATTGACATTTTACATAGCAGCCTCTTCCATCAGTGCGTGAATGTGTAGGTGTGACCTGCAGTGTAAAAGTGCTTTGAGTAGTCAGACTTGAAAAGTGATATACAAGCTCGAGTCCATTTACAATTTACCACTGAAAAGTTATTGAAGTGGGATATTATTCCAGGCTCTCCAAGCTAACGAGCTCACTGTGGGCTGTTAGCTCAGTGTGGCATCTTATGGGACAACAGGCTAATAGCCTACATGTTATTTCAAAGATGTATTTTTACTTTTAACTCCACTATCATAACTTCTTGCTGACTATTGCTGCTTTAAAAAAAACACAAAATAAACTTGTGTCTAGTGGAAATGAACTAAAAGCCTAAGGTTCAACACAACTGGTATAGCTTCAATAAACTCCCCATCTTTGACTTTCCAGCCCTAAAATGACAGCACTATAAAAGTCGCTTGCCTGTTCGACAACACAAAATTTCCTTGAATTACTTTTCCTCATCAGTTGGATCCTCTGATTGTGGAGATGAAAAAAAACTCATTTTGGTGTTAAAGTTCAGGGTTTGGGGAGTTGTTATTGCTGCTCAGACTGTTTCATCAACCCTGACTTAAGTCTTCACAAATATTAATTTATTAGCAGACGGACCAACCTGTGGATGCACTTCTTGCTCTCCAGGTACTCCATGCCAGACGCTACATTCTCTGTCATTTTGACCAGTATCTTCGGCGTTAGACTGTGACCCTCATGCCGCAAGAAGGAGAGAAAATCCCCACCTTGTGATGTGTATACACACACACACACACACACACACACACACACACACACACACACACACACACAAACATTTTAGAGAGTGATGATGAGGGACAAAGTGGGGAATATCAGAACAATATAGCTTGAAGGTTTTGGGCAAACAAGCTTAGACATATAAACCTGGAGTCCGGCAGGGTCATGTTTACCTTGAATGAGCTCCATGACGATGTAGATGGGCTGTTTCTGAGTGCACACACCGATCAGACGCACAATGTTTGGATGGTCGTATTGCTTTAAGATCCTAGACACAGAAGAGAAGTGCATAGAGGATTGTGTATGTGTGTTAGTGATTACAGTATATGCATTTGTGTGTGTGTGTGTGTGTGTGTGTGTGTGTGTGTGTGTGTGTGTGTGTGTGTGTGTGTGTGTGTGTGTGTGTGTGTGTGTGTACTAACCTGGCTTCCATCAGGAACTTGTTCTTTTGCTCTGGGGCCAGGTTCTCTTTACAAGATTTCACCGCAACAGGAGAGTTATCAGAGCGTAAACGACCACTGTACACTTCTCCAAAGTTACCCTGTAGTATAAAAACATCAGTGTTACAGCAGGTCGGACAATTTTAAACATCACACTTGGGTAAACATAAAAAGGCAAGTCAGTGCTGTACTCATAGTGTCTTTCCTTTGGTTTGGTTAAATTGGACGTAAAATCTGAAGGATATGAACTTTTGTCAAAAACAATATTCACTTTCAAACATGAAGACTGAAAGTTCTATTACTTGATGATGCTTTTCATGTTCTCTCTTGCTCACAGGTGAATGTGTTTTATAAAGCACTTTCTAGGTCTGTTTAAGAAAATGTCCAAAGCTTCCTTAACTGCAGCCTGTATGAGAGTTTAGCAGTGTGATTTAACTTACTGAACAGTTAGCTCCCACGATTAGTAATTTCCTAATTTTGTTTTAAACTACAAGTGCTTAAAAAAATCCTGTGAAATGTGTTTCCTCACTTACTGGAGACTCCTTTAGAGCAAGTATGAAGACATGAACAATGATTATTTCACAAGTCATATTTCAACATAGACCTGTAAACTATAGAGAACTCCTTTAACCTGCCAATCCGGTCTTCAGATTACTCATGATGTTTGTTTAAACTACTACTCGTATGATTTACAGGTTGTAAAACGATTTGAAAAAGCTTACTTTGATTCATTAGGCAGGTTTTTCTCGCTGTTTGACAACAATCACACTAAGTTTCCAGCAAATATCTTCACAACATTGTGAGAAATTAGGGTCAAAGATGTGAAAAATAACAGAACACTCATGTATAATCTACAAATAGGCAAAAAAAAGAATTATAAAGAATTGTAAATCAATAAAATAATAATTTTCCCCTTTCACTTCTATTTTTCTTGAACAGATGCTGAGTTCACCCACCCGTCCAATCAGTTGTCCCAAGACAATATCATCATGATCCAGGACCCACTTGTCCTAAATGGGTTTAAAAAAGAAATGAAAAATAAGAAACCCATACTGTAATAATGACTCTTATAGTTGGACAGTGAAAACAGCAAAACAGGAAAAACAGTTAATTAAAAAAACACATTTCGGTTTGCACATCGTGCTCATCTCTTTAACGAACAGTGAGCTGGAGTTGTTTGTTGAAGATGTTAAGCAGTGTTTGCGTGCTGCAGCAGCACCTTCAGTACAGGCTTCTTCAGCACTATGTCAGACTTCTTGGTGATGTGCTGTTGTGAGGATTGTAGATAACGGATAAGCTGTGGGATACTGGGGAAGCCTTCTCCATCCAGACGGTACAGATTCTACTGACACACAAGGAAAAGCACTCACTGAAGTTAGCAAACACACAGAGGAGACAAACTTCATAAGAATTTGAGAAGGCAAAAAAACTGAAAAACTTGTCAAAAACACATAGTGCTTAAAATAGCTAATCTAGCTTGGATTTTTGCAGAAAAAAACACCATGTAAAAAATAACATTTTAGTATTTACATCTGTACTTTCTCAACTTCCTCTCAGGTAAAAAAAAAAGGGTAGGAAACAGTACACCAACTTTCTTTTAGCAAAGTATGTGATTTTGACCTGCAAAACACACGTTATGTAAAGTGCACATATGATATATGTACTTCTGCAGATCCTTTTTTGTTTTTGTTTAATTTAGCAGATTGACTTACATCTGTGTTCTGAATGAGGAAATGCTTGCAGGCTCCTTCCCACTGCACAGACAGCACATAGCCTTGCTTTTCTTGACTCTTCCTCACTAAGAAGTCTCCGTCATACTTCAGCAGCTGCTGGACTTCGGGTCTGGGAATGGCTCCATGGTACCAGTCCTGCTGGCCCAGAGGACGGTCGAACTTATGCATCGAGGGGAGGTCAGGAGGCGCCTGGAGGCAGAAGGAGAGAAAAGCAGACGCTTTAAAGCTGACATGAATAAATAAAGAATCAAAAGTGGTAGAGGATGGATTTTAAGGTGATTCTGCAGAGATTAGATGGGGATGCTTCAAAGAAGAGTCTGTTATGCTTTAAAGTCTGACCACCTCCCCTCCCTCCAGGGTAGGGTAGAGTCGGGCAGCAAGAAGTAGTTCACACTTAAAGAAAAGCAGCAGTAATCCAGGCTGGAAGTCCAGTTCAGAAGAGACAGAAATATCACTCTCTCAAGATGATATTTTACATGCTGCAAACTGATTTATTTTGTATGTGTACATTCTGTAAAAGATCATCTTGAGAAAAGAAAACTGGTAGACTAACAACACAAGGCCTTTTTCTGTGAAGAGTTTGTGAGCATAGCAGCTGGTTTATTGCTCTGTGTGTACTATCATCTGTCAGCTATGATAAGGTTTAAACTGGCTGCCTGAGTTTCCAACTTTGTTTTAGGTCAGGCAGGATTTCAAAAGTATAGCATCTTTACCAAAATAGCTCAAACAGTCCAGCGGTGCTTTCAGGAGCATGAGACCCCAAAGAAAGATGTGTCTGAACGAGCTCAGCTCAGAGGCTCAGCCGTGCCGTTTCATACGCTCCCATTTTCTCCAAAACATGATGAATTGTTTTTTAGTGTGGCTTGAGGTTTGAGGGCACGCACATAACAAGTGTGAAGAGAGTGGAGGTAAAAGATAGAGGAAGTGAACCAGTGTCCCCTCATTTAAAACATCCTTCAACAACATTTGTAGAAAGAAATATTGTGTAGTGTGCACAATGTGATTCAATGTACAGATATACCTACCTCACATTTAGGTTTAAAAAAGCCACTCAGGTTGTTAATGATACCATCCATGAGGACTTTGGGAGGAATTTGGCTGTGGTCCTGAAAAACAAAAAGTGTTGACTTGATATGGTCCACAAGCCAAATGATTTAAAACTGTATTATGATGCCAAATTACTCTTCCAACAGATGCACATATTTCTATTCGATCATTTTAATGGCATCTAATCAGTTAGCATTAGAAGAAGAGAACACTGCATTCATCATTGTTGCTGTTGATGAAACTGAAGGGAAATAGTAAAAACTAAACACAACAGAGAGGCAAAAATGTCCAAAAAAGAGTCAGTGAAGGCAAGAATTATTTTATGTTGCTAGCAGCAGCTTAAGCTATGGTTTGCCGAGAACAGAAGTTAAGTAGTAAAGTGTAAGTATGGTAACAACTATGTAACGATTCACTCAACTCACGATACGATTCTCTCACGATTTACTTATTTATTTTTACTAAGAGACTGTAGACAAATTATGACTGGAAAAGATTCCTTAAGGGGCTGCAAACCCACTAGTCAGTGTGGTTTAGCCTTTTACTTAAAAAGACGGCGGTGCGTCCTCAATTTCAAAATCTTGCTCTGCAGCTGCCAACCGCCTCTGCTCTACAGCTGCTGACGCTCACAATATTAATGCAATTCATTTTTCAGAGTAGCGATGTAAACCTTGACACCTTTGAATCGATTTATAACGATTTTTTGATTAATCTTTACATTTCTAGTAACGACATTTTCTTAGGGGGGAAAAAACGTCATTCTATATTTGTAAAAATCAATAAACAAGTGGCACATCTCACATTATTTCTCCAGGAATAATGCATATCTGTACATTTAGTGACCGTGTTGGTTCTGGTTTTATAATTATTTAACTTCTTCAGCAGCTAAACAGTCAGTTTAAGATTTAGGCCCAAGAATTGAGAGTTTTGACTTTCTCCCACTTCTGGTCAAAAAAAACCTCTAAAGCAGTCATGGTTTGGTTTAGGTTAATATAAAGTACACAAACAAACACTGTTCTTTTACTTTATATCTAATGTAAAGACTTTTTTCTTCTAAAGACATTTTTTTCAATTTCCCATGATCCCACATTTAATCTTTCTTTTCTATGCCTGTTTCCTGAGTTTGGCAGAACTTATTATGAGCTAAATAGACAAAGGAAGTTTAGACTACATTGCTTGCGTTGGATGAGAGTGAGACAGTGTCTGGGTCCAGCTTCAGAGCAGAAGGAGGTTCTTTGGAGCCCAGCTGTTCCAGTTTCTCCTTCATAAGACGCCTCTGGGCCTCCAGCTTGGCTCTCACGCCCTGAGACAGCGCAACCTGTTGCCGGCACTCCTCAAGCACATGTCTCTTGCTGAACTGGTAGACCCTGGACCAAGAGGGGAAGAAATGTAGGTTGGGTAGATTAGAATATGAAGCCGTGGGACCATTTTTAGATGGCAGCAATTGTTGAAAAAGTTGCACGATAAAATGCCAGAGCACAAAGGTTATAAATAGAGAGTACAAGACCACATTTACATCCATAACAAGTGTGTCTGTGCAAATAGGTTTGCAGATGCCTTCTATCGACTAATCATTAAGAAGGATACTCTAGTGACAGCTTAGTGAGTTTTGTCCTGGATTTCAGCATGTGAACCCAGCAGACTTTTAATAAACCAAAAACCCTGCATGTGAAGTAAAACAAGACTTTTAAAAAACAATAATGGAATAAATTGTTGGATTGTTATGGCTAATAAACACTGAAAGAGAAATGACCAATGAAATGCAGGATAAGTCTTGTGCAATGCACACAGTTCGGAGACCCAGAAACCAAGCAGTACTAAAACTACAAAACTATTTTTAACCCAAGCCAGTCAATTAAAAAGTTATTTTCAAGTCATTTGATTAGAGACAAAATGACGGATGGATTGTTTATAAAATCCTGAAGAGGCGCATGTGGAAAAGTGATTCATTTGCATGCTCCATGTACAGAGACTGTAGCCCTTGAAGTGGGCAGCCCTGGTGTGAATCCAACCAGTGGCTCCTTTCCCATTCCCGTATGTCATTCCCCACAATCTCTGTCCCATATTTCCAGGTCTATCCACTATCTCTCCAATTAAGGCCGAAAAAGCCCAAAAATAAATCTTTGAAAAACCTCTCTCTTCTAAATATTCTAGAGCTGCTTAAATATGATACAGGTTTCATATTCTCTTTGTAAAAATGGAGTTTATAATAGTGGCTGAATTTATATCTAGATAAGACGTTCACATTTATCTGACATTTTACTGCCAAAATAGTAATCAGTGAATCAGTAAAAAGTATCTATCTATCTATCTATCTATCAATTAATCTATCTATCTATCTATCTTAATGACAGTGGTATTTTTCTCATCTACAATTCCAGCATAAACACATATTCAACAAAATGTCAAAACATCTCTCAAACTTTTGGGCTAGTATGTAAGAGAAGTACTATAGTGCTCAGACAAAGGGAATTTGAACTTAAGCTTCTAAAGAGAATGAAGTTATAAGTTATGATGTCAGAGTCCAAACCTTTATGGCAGCTACAAACAGACCTTGTAGTGTGATTGTTTATAGGCTTTAAAGATATGTGTAAGTCAAGGGCTTACACGTTGTTCCTTGACGAGATTTGACGAGACATAAAAATCAAATAAAATCTCAGAGTAATGGTTATTAGGAACCGAGCCACCCTGCTCGGTCTCACGTTTACAGAAGTAAACAGATTCTTAGCTGCAACCGGTCACACAAGGTCATCCTTTTGCAGCATGTCACTGTTGATTTACAAAATGTTTCCTCAAAACACAAATCAAAGAGCAGCATAAACTGTACTTCCCTCACTTTCACCACCATATGTTCTCCCCTGCTGCCGTTAAAAGTTCCCATCTTTGTGCAATCAAACACAGTTTTCCTCCAGGTTACTCCCATAGGACTGTAAACTTCAAACACCTCCAGACAGCCTTATCAAATAAGACAAATTACAGTATCCAGCTCCATAACTCTGACCATATCGCTGTATAATATTTCATATAGCACCTACAGCCTCCTGAGAGCCCCTATGCTATCAGCTGCTGCTCGGCCAAGAGCACCCTGAACTCTCCTCAATGGAAGGGCTGCCCTCGGTGGCAAAGGTAATTTGTCTCCACAGCAACAAATGTTGCATTGGTTTCATTTTGAAACCACCACTATAACCGCTGAATGCAACATCAGAGCATCACTAATTCCAACTTAAGTGTTTTGTCCACTCACCTTTGGCCCCTCTTGACACCTTCCTGTTCTGCCTCCAGTTCCAACTCTAGCTGTTCCGCCGTTGTCTGCTGAGAGCCTAGAGTCCGAGCCAGATCCAGCAGTTCCTCCTCTACAGTGGTCAGTCTGGAAGAAGACAGAAAAATGAACTGAGCAGAAGAAGCAATTGATACAAAAGAGTCTGATAAAATAGGAGACAAAAAGAACAAGAGACGTGAAGAGGGGGAAGTAGTTGAAACATTAGAAAAAGGAAATCGTAGTTGAGTCAATTGTGTGAGATTGTGTTGTTTGTTCTCACTTGTGCTGGATTGATTCAAGCGTGAGATCATTTAGTTCAATCTCTCCAGGATTAAGCCGTTCCATTTCCTCCAAAGCACAACATTCAAACTCTGCACATGATGGAATTTCCCCTACAGACCTGCAAACACAAACCACAGTCCACAGTCTCATAGGGTAAGCTTAGATGACTGCATTATTGCTGTCTGAGGGGAAGTTTCGCTTCAGTCTACCTGCTCTGGTGGATGAAGCTCTCATACTCTTTGTAGGGATCGATTGCTGTTAGAGCAGAAGAAATCTCCCTGTGGATCTGCACCACCTCATGATGGAGGACAGTGGAGATGTCGAAATACTCCTGCAGGATCTCCTTTCTAGTTCAAACGTCAGGAAGGGCAACATAAAAAAAAAAAAAATACTCACATGATAGCGTGTTCAGTAACTTCAAGGATCATTTATGTAAGTTTTAGCCACATTCAAAACACATAGGCTACATATAGCTAACTTTGTATTTTCCAAAACTCCCACAGAATAATTTCCAGATCGGTAACGGCAAGCATACCCATATTATTCATACATAATTACTTGTGATTTGTGCCTATTTAATTTGAATGATGTTTCAAAATGTCTGCAAGTTCTATTCAAACATTTGACTTTTTCGATCTGAAAAAAATTATGCATGAATCTGAAACAATTCACATCCTTTAAATTTGTATCTACATACTTAATCAGAGTAATGAATTGGGTGTTTCTTCTGGCATTCACTACTTCAAGAAAAGTCCACACTTCTGCTAATTGAATTAGTGTTATTTTGTACAAATAAAAGTAATCGTTCCCTAAAAGGTCGAAATGTTGTATAGTTGTAGTTTGTAGGAAATGCCACAAAAATCATTACTAATGTAATTTTGGAAATCTTGAAGGTTGATATAGTTAAATAAATGTGTTTCTGAGGTCAACTGTGCTTAATAGGAGGGATATTTGTCTTCCCGATGCAAACAGAAAACAATGAATACAAACAAGCAGCAACAATCTTTGCATTTTTCTTTCATATTCACAATTTGGATATGTTGCTGTTTTGTTTTTTAAAAGGAGGCTTAGAACCTTGTTTTAAATCTAGCAATTCATTTTAAGCAATTTTAATCCAAAATTCAGATTTTTGTAACCATTGATTTTTCCACATCTATTTTTGGTATGGTCTTATTTTACTGGGTTTAAATTTATTGATTTCTAACATTTGATTTTTTTTGTGTGTGATTTTTTAAAGACTTTCAACATGTTTTCTTGATGTCATTTGTTTTCCATCTCATTCTCCATAAACATGCAAACACTCTTCAATTAATGTGATCTTACAGTATGAGCGCCATCTCCTGCTGCAGGGTCTGCAGAGCACTGAGCAGAGCAGGCTGGATCTGACTGTAGTGGTGCTGGTGGTAAACTTGACCAGCTCGCACAGACAGCACATACTCATTGTGCAACTCGTAGAGTTTCAGTGAAGTCTTTACATAACGCTCTTTAGCCTTGTCTCGCTCTTTATCTGCAAACATAGAGGAGAGGACACATGTCACGTTGAAAAAACATGTGACATTTAGACTATATTAAAACAAGACAGACCATGGCCATCAGTATGAAACTGATTGTTTTTGGAGAAGTAAGTGATGCCAGGTTTCTCTACCTTTGTAAGCCTCTGTGTACTTCCTCTTAGCCTGAGCTGCATCTCTCACTGCCTGTCTGTAGCTGTTCCTTAGCCTCTCCAGCTCCGTCTGAGTCACCTGAGATAGCACATAGACAAACAGCAGCAGATGGGAAATAAATGGTACAAGGATAAGTGTTATTAGTGTGGTTAAAAGCTGCCCTCATGAGTGTGAAAAATGTTTAACACCGGAAGTTGACAGTTGCCTTTTCTACATTGTGTTGTAGAGGAACAAGAAAAGCAAGAAAAGACATGTGAGGAAACGATCTAATCTTTGTTGTGCTGCTGTTGGCGACATCTCATAACCAACCTGTCTGAGATAGCATCTCAGACATTGTTTTAAAGTTGTAATCACAGCATAAAATCTATCTATTGTAAACTCACATGCACACATAACAAGAAACTACCTGCTTGCGGTCTGCATCAAAAGGACATACAAGTAAACTGAACATAATGAGCCCCGGTATGACTTACCGGAAATTAACACCTCTTTTTTATTTGTTGGGTGATTAAAGCAGTGCAGAGAAGACACTGTCTGAAATAGCATCAAAATGCAGTTTTGAATCCTCTTAACAGTCAATGGAAACTTTTTTTCATGGACACCTGTCTGTTTCTTAAACTGCTACTGCAATGTAAACACAATACACCCAAGAAAAATCAACTATAACCATATACAGTTTTTAAAAAAGAGTTCTGCAATACATGTAACACTTTCACACTAACAATTTCTTTGGTAAAAACATATGATGTTTCATTTGAAAAGGAAAATGTCCAGTTAATGGACGAGGTAGTATGAATAACAATTAATATGAAACTTGCACACGAAAACCCTGCTCAACGGGTAATTTTGTATTTCTAACTCAGTTTGCAATGCAGCATTCGGTATCGGTAATCACATATCTGAACAACAACTGTTTTGTTTTTTTAAGGAATGTTAGTACGTATTTTCATGGATTCATTCATTTTGATAATTTTGTGGACATATCTTTAAATTGTGTCAACCATCTCACAGTAATTCTTCTTTTGGGTCTGTAAAGCTGTAACCTTATATGGTGAAACATGTCAATTGTAGCAGATCTATGTTTGGATAGGAGCCAACCAACTGTTTGCTAGACAAAGAGTCTACATCTGTTACGTATACAAATCAGAGTCATGTCATCTTTATTGTTTTATAGTGATGTACCCAAATGGAAAGGAATTTGTGGGCTGTACCTTCTAGCAGAATATAAGCCACACTGTGTGATGAAGACTTGGCCATTTTGCCAATGATTGTCAATGATTGTGAGATCTTGGTCAGCATGGGTCAGCGATGGTCTGCACTTTGTCAGCCATGTGTGTTCTGTTTCTGTGTTGTCTGACCATGGCTGAATAAATCTAAGATGATCCACAGTCTGTTTCACGTTTTCATCATTGTTCATCTACTACAGAAATAACACCCACCTAAGAAGGAAGAATCTAAAAAAAAGATTAGATTGCCTCTTTGGCTCATTGTATACATGTGGTTGACCTGTGCGTGTGTGTGTGTGTGTGTTGTTTGTTTGACACACACACACACACACGTATGACATCATTTTCTTTGTTTTAAGTCTTTTTCATGTTCACATAAATCGGACGCTTATCTACAAAACAAAATCTCTTCATCCTCAACAATGGTGGTCCTCAAGGTGCACTAAAAATGTGAATGTGTGTGTCAGTGTTATTCTCTCACCTTGCTTAGCTCCTGCCTCAGCAGGTTCCACTGCTCTGCGTAAGTCTTGCGGAGTTGCTGTTTGTCTCTGATCAGCAGTGTCAGTTTGCTGAGGGGACCATTCAGCAGATCCTCAGAGCGCCTCTTCATCACTTGACTCAGAAGGTCAGTCTGAGAGACCAGCACTCCCCACGACTGACAGACAGGGAACAAAGGGTCAGGGAGACATCGAGTCATTTGAACCAGAAAACTATAAAAGCTCGAGCAGAACTCACTAGGTACCAGAGGCTGCACAGTCCTTCACATGTTTTATTCTCTATTTATGTCATGATGTTTTTTTAAACTGGTTTTGATAAGCAAGACTTACTTGACAACTATTTCCTTCCGTGTGTGTATTTAACCAGTAAGAAGGAAAACTATTTGCAGTTATTCTCTGAGATTCATGTATTTATTCTTAAAGCTAATATACATGCTAACTTTTGATCAGGGAAGCCTTTTTGCCAACATGACCTTCTGGATGCAAATTTCTGATAGTATCTGTTTGGACTTTAAACATTTTGTAATGAAATTAAAAGATATTTTAAATGGATAAGTCTTTTTGAGTTGGACAAGAAGTAAAGTATTTCTATGGAAACAATAATGTTGTTGTTTAAAATATTTAAGGCTTCATCTTTGATTTGAAAACTGATATCAGATAAACGGATGTCACATTTTTATGCATCATTCACTGCCAGTCAGTAGAGTTAAGGGTTATCAGTCGATTTTAAGAGTTTAGTGATCTCACCTTGTTGAGTTGGCTGATGTAGTCCAGTCCTGCACTGGTCTGGGGTCGGTCCAGCTTTTCCACCATGGTAGCCATGTGGTGCAGCTGCACAGAAAACTCACGCTCACTCTTAGCCCGCTGACCCATCCATTTCTTCATGACCTCCATCAGGTGAAGCTCTGAGTCCAGCAGCCTCATGACTGCTGCATGTGCCTGAGGGCACCACAGATCCTCTCCAAATCCCATCTCTAAATAATTAAATTCTCCTCCCTATCAAGGATTTGTTTAAAGCAGAACGTCCTACAGAACCTTTTGTGTTCTCATGAGCGTGAGACAAACAGAGTGGTGAAGTAAAGCAGCTGCTAATGACCAACAGCAGTTATTCTTCAGTGACCACAGAACGGTTTCATTTCCCTGAGCAAAAAAAAAAGTACAGAGCTTCATGTGAGCCAGCACTTCCTCATGTCAGTGTGAAAGTTGTAGTGCTTGTAAAAGATATTTTGCTTTCAAAATAGGAACTAATCTATTGAAGCAAAACATTGACCATAAATGCTGAAAATACCGGATGGAAAAAAGTGGAAGCGGAAATTTTTGAGGCAAGCATTATTGAATTTTAAAACATTATAACTATATCCTGCTTGAGTTAATTTCTGCTTGCTTATTCATATCTAATGTACATTTATGTTTTTAAATGTAAAGTCTTTCTAATCAAAATGGGAATATGATGATTGCAGTGCAAAAGTTATACAAATTCAGTACTATACATAGACTGTACTTATTTTGGTATTATACTACAACAAACCATCTCAGCAGCCATCTCAATCCATTTTGATACTTTAAGTTCATCTTGCTGTACACAAGTGTTTTTGAATGTGTTACTTGTCCTTTTCATTTTGCATTTTTAAATAGTTGGATATCTACTTTGGAGTTAAGTACATGATCTGATAACCTTCTCCACATTCAAGTATTTTCATGTTTACATGTGAAGTCATTATGCCTTGGTGTTATTAATGAGCCTGTGTAACAGGTGGGGAATAGGTTAAGCATCCTGGCTCCAGTTGAGGTTTCCCTGCAGTGATCTGAGGTCTGACGCCGACAGGTGCAGGTTTTACTGCTGAATTCAACATGCTCATCTACTTAACATAAATAGCAGAAAATAATAAAAAGTTAGTTAGCCTAGTGCTACACAACGGTGAGAAATGGCTGTTTTTTTAAAAAGATTTTTTGTTTCTCTTTCTGTTCTTTTTTTTTTTTTAACACTGGTTATCGCTGTGGACCACAACAGGCTGTAAAAACTGCTGAAGATATTTGTTATATACACTGTATATGAAAAAACATTTCATTCTATTTATACCACTATGTGAACTGCGTCTCACTTCATTACTTCTATCTATGATGTGGTTTGTGTGGTATGCAGCCTCTCAGTTGTAAACACATTGGCTTAATTACAATAGCTATAAATCATCAAACGCACTCATGATACAGAAAGGGTGAATAGAAGAGACGAGCATAAACGAAGCAGCTCAGGCAGGTTTTAGAGACCACAGAGGAAATGCCTGCTCTCGTGTTTAGATACAATATCTACATAAGGTCAAGATGAAGCCGATCGCACACCACAGCCGACAGCAAGAGCCAGTAGTATCATACCGGGCAATATGGTTGAAGTTTGTAGTAACTCATTTGAGGGTGAAGTAATAGATTAAGTTCAGTTTTAAACTTAAATACATTGAAAGTTCTCTTGCTATAAACAAAAGGAGGTACCACCATTGTAACATCATTCAAGTATAATTAGACTTTGCAATTTGTTGTTTTGTTTTGCAGCCGTGTCTTATGTATACATTAATTCATGATCAGGCACTCTGCAGGAACAATGCTAGGCGGACCAGGGCAACAGCAAGAGGTGACTGATCAGCTAAATTACAAACACTATTTTCAGACAATCATCTTTCTCATTGAGAACCACAGAAAAGTGGAACTCAAATCCCCTATAATGCAGTCATATCAGAGTCTGAGCATGCTTCAGTGTTTTAAACAAAACTTGAAACATGGCTCAAGGCAAACCAATCTATGAGCAGTGATGCAAACCTTGTATGGAACCAACTTGAAGGGAATGCATTGTAGTTTTATGTCTTTTTCATGTGATAAACTGTTAAGTCTGCATTGTTTTTATTGTAATGTATGTCTTTTTTGGATCTACCTGCCCAGAGACCACAGATGTGAATTAGCTTTATAGCTAACTCCCTCTCTTAGTTCAGTTTTCTGCATTATGGATGATCTTTACTTTATCTTCAGTTGTGTTTATTTATTTTTTTAAAGATATTCTTTGGACATTTTTGCCTTGAGGAATTTTTGGGAGGAGAGAATGGGGAATGACATGCAGCAGAGCGAGGCTGGATAGAACCCACAGTGGCAACTTAATCACGAGGCTATCCCGCACTCCTCAAATCAAATTCTTTACTCATAACAGAATATAAATACATTTTTGCAGGTGTAATAAAGATAATAAAAACACATTTAAATTTGCATAGATCTTTATTTTTAGTAGAATCTATAATTGACATCAATTAAATAAAAAGGAGAAAAAAAAACCAAGAGCAAAAAAATCTTTAAATTACAAGAAATTACACTGCACCAGTCATATAGTACAAAAATAGGCCTTATTTTAGAGTTTTGTCCCGTGTTAGATAGTCATTCTTGTACATTATTCATAGGTCACAAATCTGTAAGGTACTGTGTGCAGCCACAAGCCAGAAACTGCAACAAGAGGCAGGAGGAGGTCAATACTCTGACCGACCACGCCCCAAACACCTTCACAAAGTGTTTCATTTCTACTAAAACAAGCACGTACACACACGCACATCTGATTCAGCCCTTAAGTTAATGGGGATGGGATACATTCTACCTCCCCCCTCCACAGCTGCTGAACATACAGGCTGTCGCTGCAGGTCTTCCAAAAAAGGCAGAGATGACAGAATCATATCAACAAAACACTTTGAACACAAGTGAAGGGATCGATGGACTGTGAAAACCTGAACGCAACACGTCATGACGCTAAACAGACAGCATTCAAATGATTGTCTTTGGTTATGCCAAAGATATTGCTCCTATTTACTCCATCTGACTTCATATTGATCACTTTTGACTACATCCTAAGGCAGGAATGAAGCAAAATGGAGCTTTAAATATTTCAGCTGGATAGAAAAAAACCTTCATCCTCCCCATGAGCGACTCTTATCTTTATCCATGAGAGGAGACAATTTGGATTTGCAGATTATTTTATAGCAACGTTGTTGTTACTTTCATGAGGAGGCTTCACATTTTGGTGCCAGTTGAGTGGTAGAGTTTTCATAGTGTGCTGCTGTCTGGCATAATTAGAGAACCTCTTTTTTTAGTGTGTGGTTTCCATCACATCTTTGCAGTGAAAGAGTGAGCTCGCTGCGAATGGTTTTTCAGCAGCTGCTTAATGCTTTCCACATTCACGCCTCTCTTAAAAGTTAAAGACTTGAATGCACAAAGCTCTGAGTTAATCAGGTTAAACTTTTGAGTTTTCAGGCTGTAGTGGATGAGACATGAAGACAAAATGAATAAATCATTTTGTGTGTGCCCTAGAGGGCAGAAGAGAGTTGAATAAACACCCCAAAATGTTTCATTTTAGGGGCAGCTATAGTCTTTCATGAAGCAGTACAAATCTTCTGGAAGTAAAAATGGACAACTGAAAATACAGACATGACTATACTCATAAATACATCAGAGAGAGTCCCACATTACAGTTCTGATTAAAAAAAGCTAACTGAGCATCCAGAATTGAAGTTAATGGAAGCGATTTTGGTGCCACATTAGCCCATAATCCATTGTTTACACAACACGCTGGGAAGTCGATACAGAGTCTGTGGCTCAAGTTATTACATTTTTTAGATTAGCATCCTCCTTAAACTGGGGCTAATAAGAGCCTAAATGGCAGTAGGCACTAATGTACATCACACCGAGTTGTGCAGCACACACTCATTATTCTGCAGCCACATTAGCTTCACTTCTTCAGAGGGCACTTTCTATAAAATCCTCGTTTTCAGCTGGGTTTTCAAAACGCTTTAGTTCTTCCTGGCTGAAACTGCCGTGATGAGCCAAATTTGCTTCACCTGTACTGGCCGTCTGAGACGAATCAAGCTTCCTGTCTCAGTGCTGTGATTGAGAGCATTTCATAGAAAACCTTCTCCATTATTTTAAAGAGGATATTGGCAGGACTAAGATAGAAACTCTATTTTTTCTGTTCTGTTTTATTTCTTTTCATTTTTTCTCTAGCTTTCTCTTTCGTTGTTTAGCAATTGGCATCACATTCAGTTCTGCATATTTCAGATAAAAGCACCTTCTGAGAAGGCTTTCTACCAAAAGTAGTAAAATAGTTTTTTGTGTTCTGATGAACATTTCTCAGCGTCAATGTAAGGTTATCTTTTGATTGTCAAACTTAAGAACAAAAAGATCTTAGTCAATGAGCGAACTCTGGGTAGGAACTGAGTTGATTTAGCACTCAACAAGAGCTATAAAAGATCCTTTCACCCATCTTATTTTCAACAACAGGTTTTTAGAGCCCAGGTGTGACAGCCCATTGATGCTGATCCTAAAGAAAATCAATTCCAGGGGAGATGGGGATTCAGGACACGAGGATTTACACAGCAGCATTACAGTTTCAGAAATGCTCCTAAATACGTTTGACTCAATCACATGTAGATTCTCCTAAATCATTCAGGAAACATGATTCCATAAGCGACCTACATATAATATGCCCTCAATAATTATATAACAGCTCCTATTACAGCACATTAACCCTTGCTGAATGATATGAGAGGTAGATAAAAGGATGAGCAGCTGCAGTTTTGTATGCACGCCATCACCATGACAACCTCTCTCAGCAAGCTCCATTGTTTTACTACTGGAAACGAAACGAAAAATCAAAATGAAAAATCAATGCAAGTTATATAAAAAAAAAAAAGTGAGCTCAATGGATTGAAAATATCTACTCTGGATTGAATCACGAGATGCATATTTTAGACAATAACCAGCTTAGGAGAAAAATCACTTTAAAACAATCTCCCCTGAAGGTATGATTCAAATCTCTCTGAATAAATAGTTTCTGCACTTTCGGTCTGAATATAATTAATTGCAGAGTACGCTCAAAACATAATCTGAAATTCAGATTAGAAGAAGACTGGAGGGTAAGTACAGAGACACTAAAGAGAGTGGGGTCTCAATGCAGCATTTTTTAAGTGTATTTAAGATTTGTGAAAGAGATGAAGGAGGAGAGGAAACCTTCACTTTAGAGGGCAGATGTGGATTTCTGGTTTCATATGCACTAACAAACCTGCACACACACACACACACACACACACACACACACACACACACATTCATTAATTGTTATATAATATGAGGCTTGTGTAATGAGTTCCTGTAATGCTAATTTGTCTGACAAAAAAAAGGAAGCCTCGATTTGTTGTTAAAGTGTCTGCACAGCTTCTTTAAGTTGAATGTCTTGTTCTCCTCAGTCACAACTTGTTCTATCAGCTCCTCAACTTTCTCTCCTTAAATATCCCTGGAAGGGATTGTGCCTCAGGGTTGATGGAGTAGCCTTTATTTTATTTTTTTTAAAATGTATCAGATTTTTAGATACCCTCCTGTGACAGCTCGGAAGTTACGAGTGCAGAAGAGTTTATCATTTCTGAGAGTAGATCATCTGGAATCCCAAAAGGAAGAAGGAAGCTTTGCTGGATGTGTGACTCCAACATTTGTTTGGCCAGAGCAAAGAGATCTGTGCAGATAGTGTGAACAAACAGAGAACTGAAGCCCCCAATCACACCGAGATGAATAACTACATGGATCTGTGAAAGACTTAGTGAGAGATGGATTTTAGTTTTTAGGTAAATATGAAACATCTCATCTTAAAAAAGAAAGAGGTCAGATATTCAGAAAGCTCTCAGACTGTTTTGGTGACACATTATTAGAAATCATTAGAGTCTGACAACTGTAATGCTTTTGATTTGTGAATTTTTCTAAATTGCTCAGCTCAGTGGAGCTTTTCTGGACAGATTTTAGACGTTGATGCCATTAAACAACACTTCTGAGAGAATCAGTCTCTCCTAATCCGATTTACTGCCTCATATTACAAGTTTGTGTTATCACTTCGGTAGTAAATGTGACAGGACCGGCTTTAGCTTCTTTAAAAAGGGCACTACACTGCATCAGATTTACACAGTCATGCTCGCTCAGACACACGCACTCATTCAACAATCTCATCTGGCTACTGCACAGACTGATGGAAAGAGGAATCAAGAGAAAGAAAGCAAACCATAATCAGTTGTTTACAGTAACAAAATAGGAGACAGAGCTGGAGGGGAAAATGGACTCCGCACAGATGGACACTGTTAGTGATTGAGGGCAAGAGGAGGGAGAGAGCCAGTTTAATAGAAGTGCGCCCAAGTGTGAACAGAGCAAAGCTGGGGCCATCCCTCCAACTCTGAGAGACAGCTGCTTCAAGCCACAGTCTCTCACCGCAGAGTGGATGACGAGGTCCTGAATAGGACTCAAAGAAATTCCAGTAAGACAGAGACATAAGTGAAAAAGAAAGAGAGATAAAACCAGAGAAGACTGTGACTGAAGACACCAAGGGGGGTGTTTTAAAGTGGGATGTGGGAGGGATGTGTTGGGAGGCATTAAAGAGCACTTTGTGTTTTGATAAAGGCAGTCCTCTCGTTGTGGACATCAGACTCTTCGTTTTCGGAGTCTGTGTTTACCCCGTCATCCCCCCACACTGTTGGTATTCCACGGTACGACACCACCCTATTACCCCCAAGGCTGAAGCTGCCCCCTAAGCCGCCACCGGCCTCCAGGGAGGGCAGCTTGATGATCGCACCGGAGCGCAGCTGCAGCAGCAGGAAGATGCCAGCAAAGGTGGCCATGATGGCCATGCAGCTGAGCACGGCGATTGTGATGGGCAACCGGGAGCTTAGTTGGAGCTGCGATTTGGGGTCCCCCTGGCCGACCATGAAGCTACCGGGGGACTCACGCATGAACTGGTTTTGGTGCATGCAGGTTCCAGAAATGGGGTTCAGTGAGCTGTGAGGGGGGCAGGACAGGCAGGCCTGACTGCTGAGGCTGCTGCAGGTGAGGCAGGGCGACAGGCAGGGCAGGCAAGTGGGGACGGAAGCCGGTGCTATGGAGTTTCCCACAATGTAGTTGAGAGGGTGCGAGCCCACAGAGAAACCTGCAGGACATTCTTTCACACAGCCCTGCTGAAAGAGGTAGTAGCCCGTGTTGCACTCTGTAACAGAGAAACAAAACTGACATAAGAAGACACACAACTTTTTACCTTTACACATCAGTCAGAAGAAACCCTGAAACGAAAGTTCAGATTCAGTGAGGATAGTTTGTATGGCAACAAATACTGTGTCTAAATTGTGTTCATTGAATGTTCATGCTAGGGTTGTTTGGTATCTTGTCAGTGTGAGACTGACTGTGGAGTCGCCATTTTGTTAGTGCTACTTTCGGGGAGAAAAAGATAATGATGAAAAGTTTTAGATTTGTGCAGCATCTTAAAGATCAACACAGCCTTTTTCATATGCAACGGGTCCAGATGCAGACTATTGTCTTTAAAGGCAATTAACAGACTGTTGGTGCTGGAAGCTAACAGAGCTGAAAACAGGAGTGTGAGCCAACAAAAGAAGCGAAATCTAACACACTGCAGGATTTTGTCAATTTTTAAATAAACAGAAGAGAGTATAATTGTCAGACAGCCCTTATGTAAAACATAGTTTATTATAACCAAATGAGGACCAAACTTTATTTATAGAATTGTTTAAACCCTCAATTTATTTCCGTATTTGTTGCTGTCTGTAAGTGCCTCTGACAGCCTGTAGAGGTCAGACTGTCACCGTTACACACACGCACGAGGTGGGAGAGTATGTGGAGACCTTGCCTATAGCAGAATTTGTATTAAGAATAAAGGCGGGCAGAATGGACATCTTTAAATTTAAATGAGATTATTAAAACGGGACCTGGAGAGAAATTGTATTTGATCTCACCTGCAGGTAGATAATATAGCGACATAATCAGATGACGTTTGCAATAAGAGGTCTGCCCACACTGCTGCACAGTGAGCATGGTATAATATTTCATCTTATTAACCTCATAATGTCTACACTGCTTCACATGTCAAATCTCAACATGACACATTAATTACCCCACTCCACCTCAGATGTTGTGACAGTGGCAGAATCAGTCTTACCGATACAAATCTGCCTCAGGTCCAAGGTCTTACAGCTGCCGTCACCAGGCTGAGCCTTCTCAGAGGAGCTGGAGGACGCTGAGCCGGTGCCGTACAGCACCAGGATGAACTGGGTCAAAGTGCCTAAGAGGAGAGATAAGTGACAGAGGTGAAAAAAAAAAAGTGAAATTAATCGCAAAGTAAAGCAGGGCTGTCAGAAACATTAAGGCCGTGCCACCTCTAGGGTTGGATTAAGTAAATGTGTCCTCTCTTATTGGTGACTCTTTGTTTTTTGGCATAAAGTGACAGGAAACGAGCCTCAATTTAAGACAGCATGATTTATCTCTGTGCCTAATAGGAGTGTTTTAAAGTGAAAGTCTGAGAGGGATCATGAAGTGAGGTTCCACTTTCTATAATGACTCCACACTGAGGAGGGAGCTGTGGCACATTCATCTGTTTTCTGGGGCTTTCTTGGACTCTGAGCGTGTTGTTGTAGTTGGACCAGCGATGTCTAGAAGCTGTAGGTCACTGGTGCACGAGCCAAGGGCAAACAAAAATAAAGAACTATTCACTCTACTAGGCCTGCATGATATGAGAAAAATCTGCAACGTTTCATTTTATCGTCCAATATTGCAATAATGATATCAAGTGTGATAAAGAGTGCATATAAGCTATACCTCAGTTTTTTTATTTCTACCTGCTGTACTTCATGTTTTACATAATACCTGTGTTTGCGACACATACCTCCTGAATCCAAATGAAAAGAGAAACTTTTTTTTTGCTACTAAAGTGGCAAGCTGAGGGCAGCTAATAGCTAGCTTGAGCTCTATCTGCATCCAAATGGTATGACAGCATGGCCATTATACACAGGCCTCCAGCCAATAGGTAAAATGTGCACCTACTGAGAGACAGAGGCTGTGTCTGAATCAAGCCCTATTCACTATATTGTGCACTACTACGGTATATAGTGGACACGCCATTTTGTAGTGCAGTCCAAATTCTGAGTGAACATGGTCATACCCTTTATAGTCCACTCAATGTATCCCAGAATTCATTGTGAAAAAGTAGAGTACGACGGATGGTCACTGTTTGAGCCATATATACCAGCATGCATTGTGGTTCAAAAGAGAGTGGCGTTTGACTCGGCAATAAAGTTCTTATTTGGAGCGTTTTACTGAAATCTATGATCGGTTTAAATAAAGAGTAAAAGATCTTCAACGTTAATAATGTTAGTTTGTCCTAATGACGATGACAGACATGAGACCAGAGTCCAGGGGAATAAATAATTGAGTTTTGGTCCGAAAATATGTCTCATATGTAAAATTCTATATTTTACATGTATTTATTATTTGTAAATGTCATCACTGAAATTCACGCTGTTATTTACCGTTATTATTGATTCTCTGCTGTTGTTAAGCTGCACGTTTTAGTGGCACGACAACAATGATGTCACTGTCAGCGGCCGGCGAGTGAACGAGTAGTGTCCGAAATGTTTTTTAATTTTTCTGAGTGAGTGCACTATATAGTCCACTGCATTAAACTCACTAACTAGGGAATAAGTGAGTGATTTTGGACACAGCCAAAATATTGCTTTAAAAATAAAATGTCTGTCATTTATTTGGATAATTTCTGACTTTTGTAATTATGTTAATGTGAATGTTCAGGTTTGGATAAGTATGAAATAGTACATTTTTAGTGAAGTCCTGCACTTTCTGCTCAGATTCAGCTTCACAGCTCCTACAAAGAGATCAGGTACTCAACAAATAAACAACAAAGATGCTTTACCGTAGTCACTGGCGCCGGCCACATTCTCGATCTCCAGTGTCCACACCCCAGTTGGGTTCTCGTCCCAGGAGTGGGTGGTCATGAATGCCCAGTCATTAAACCCCTCTGAGGAGTAGTCATGAGGTCTGCAGGAGGAAGATGAGCACGAGTGATAACATTTTGCGTTTATCTACTTGTTCCGTTTGTCTTTTTTCATACGGTCAGTCTAAATATTTGTGTATCTGTGTGTTTGTACCTGGGGTGGAGCAGCGTGGAGCGTGTGCCTGCTGGACTAATGAGGTGGATCGCTAGGTTTCCTCTGCGGTTGTAGGAAAGGGTGAGGCGAGCTTGGACGTGCTCTAGTGAGGTCACATGACTGTCTGTTCCAAAGCAGGCATCCACACTCTTGTTTATGGATAAATGGTTGCCGATGTTCCTGAAAAACACGAGAAAATGACATAAAAAGACAAGAGTAGTACATTAGCTTATCCCAAGCTCACAAGCACACGACCAGAGTCCATGTAAGTGTGTGTGTGAGTATGACATTTTGCTCCTGGCTTGTGTGCCAGCCTGTGAAGGGTGAAGAGTTTGTGGCCTGAACAGGATTAATGTCTCACAACCTGAAGACCCAGTGTCCTCTGTGGAAATAAAGCACCCCCTTTTTTTTTTTTGAGTCTCCCTCCAAATCCGCTTAGGAGATTACCTGAATCCGTAACAATACTGAGGAGGAGAAAGGTGTTGGCTTTTAGTGACACCGATGTGTTGTGATCACTAAACTGTCACTCTGGTTTAAGACACGGTCCCTCCAGGTTCAGTCTGGTAAAATTTTAAAAGACTTCATAAACACTCTTGACCTTTGTAGCAGCCTCACACAGAAACAGTGGAAAGGTTAATATAGTGAAGCACTTTTCTAGATGCCAGCCAGTCACATAGTGACTGCCCACATTATTTTATGATGCAAATTGGCAGCAACACAGCAGCCCACATTTGCATGTTTGGGCAAATACAATATGTATTTTGTGGTGTTTCGAGGTAGAGTCAGAAAACCTTGGAGAAGGGAATGGAAATTTATACAAATGGCTGCTGAAGTTGATTTATGATTGCCAGCTGACTGCTGCAGCACAGGCGTCCATGAATTAAGGTCTAAGGGAGGAACATTTGTGGCTCTGCTGGAGTCGTGGCATCTGTTTTACGAGCACCCACAGAGAGAGAGTCCAACCTGTAACTGGCAATCTACCATTCAGTCAGTGCATTGAATCAACGAGAATATATGAGGGCAACTGGCCAACAAAAAGAGACGACAACATTGGACCTTTATCGATAAACATTTCAGTAGCAGCTGCAGGTGACAATCACCTCAGTGATGATGGATAATCCTTCTGATGTTGAGAATCACAAGCACTCAAGATGAATGGACAGAATTCATCTATCTTTTTAATATGCCTTCTGCTTATTGTTTTCCATGGCATTCTGCAGCTTCCAGCAGATCAGGCATGAAGAAAATTTCCCAACACATTTATCACATATTTAAAATAATTAATGAAATGTTTTTTTTTAATTAAATCTGCTTAGTGCAATAATCCTTGGGAGGAGACACAAAGATGATCTTAATGCAGTGTGAATAAAGCATCTCAGGGCTACCAAAATATTCCAGCCAACATGAGGGAATGCCATCCATTTGGCTAAGTACGCTTTGGAGAGGACAGAGTGTTTCTAAATCATCAATCCATTCCTGAGCTTCACTGTGCAGCACTCCAGTGTAAAATAATGAAACATTTTAATGTTAATTTGGATCAAGTTTGTTCAGAACAGTGTGCAGACTTCTCTCAGTACGCTCATATGTCTTCATGCATAATGCTTTTGTACTTTATGCTTAGTCTATTTCAAATTCACCAATTCAATTCAACAGAATGACCTGCAAACGCTCATCACTCCTGAATCCATTAACAAATCTTTCTCTTAAAGAGAAGCAGTATTCTTAAAACTCCAAATTCATCATCTGTTACAAAAGCCCAGATCAATTGTGAGGGAGAATTGTGGGGATTTTTATGTCCTCATGCACTACTGCAGTGTCCCTGAATATGTGTCTTTTTTGAACACACTCATGATGACTGGATGTAAGTGACGGCTGGAAAGACATGAGCGCCTACCTGCTGACTCATTTCATGTCATTCTCGATAAGTGAGCCAGCTAAACACCTAAAAATCTAAATTGAATAACCTGCCTCGACTGCTGCTCCCAGACGCTCGAACCATCTGCTTTGAGCATCTCACAGCTGCAGTAAAAAGAGAGAGAAAGCTCAGGCCCAGCAAGAGAAGTGGCAGGGAGCGCATAATGAAGAGAGGGTGTCAGAATGCGTTTTGACTCTGACGCCACCAGAAAAAGAAAGAAGATGGCTGATGAGAAACGAAGAGCCTCAACAGTGTAGAGAAAACAAGAAATGACAAATGATCTTTTCCTTTTTTTAAAGCTACATCTGGAGCTGAGCTGAGCGCCTGCACGCAGATACAAATGAGACGCTCAACTAACAGGTAAAGACAGAACGTGTCACTGCAGTAAGACATCACAGCTCAAACAGACCTGAACATCTCTTACATCTTCAGTCTATTTTTGACCAGTTTAATTTCAGTATCCAAAACCACTTCAAGCCACTAATTCAAAGAACGGTTTAGAGGAAAAAACAAAACAATCTGCAGCATTTATCATACATTCATTGTGCATCAATTCTGCTGTTTATTGTTAGGATCAAATTCCCTCCCTCTGACATTGTATCCTACTTTTTGTCCTTTGACTCTCTTGTTTTACCCTGGCTTCTCTGCTGGACCATCAGATGTCCTTGGAACTGTGTCTGTGTGTCTCTCTCTCACTTGTCTTTCATTGCATTGAATTGATTTGCACCGTCCCAAGAATATTCTTCTTTTTTCTCACTCCCTCTGTACTGTACTTTGCATGCTGTCTTTCTCCGTCTGTGTGAATATTTTTCTGTCTGTGTGGCCTGGAGACTAAGTTGTGTGGTTTCGTCCTTATTGATATTTTCTGCATACAAAGTATGTTGTGTATTTTGGGGGAGTTTGTCTTTTCTAAATCAAGAGTTGGAGAAGTGTGTGTTAAAGAAAGGTTGTAAGGCACTGCCTCACAATAACTTAAGCCTGTCTCTCAAGTGCCAGCAGATGCACTTCAAATGAACTAAATTAATTCTACCAGGAAGTTTAGGATTCAGCCACAAGGGTTACGTTCAAATTGATATGAACTGATCACTTATTAGACCTAATTACTTTTGTTTTTTTAAAGATCTTTTGGCTTTTTGTGCCTTTATTAAAGAGATAGGACAGTGGATAGAGTCGGAAATCAGGGAGAGAGAGTGGGGAACAACATGCAGGAAAGGAGCCACATGTCATACTCGAACCCGGGCCGCCTGTCTGGAGGACTACAGCCTCAATACATGGGGTGCTCGCACTAACCTCTACGCCACCAGCGCCCCAGACCTAATTAGTTTTAAACTTTATTTAAACAACAAGTGATAGCTTTTGTTTCATGTGGACATTTGTGATCAAAGTCTTCACATCGATTCAATGACCTTTGGGTATCTAAATGTTTGCGAGTGTTTAGTGTACTAACCTTGGGTCACAGACCATGGTGATCACACATTTCCGCTGTAGTCCCACACTGGTCCACGTGCTTGCAAGAGACACAATTGCACTGGCATCAAGTAGACCGTATCCATATGAGTGACTAACTGTAGCGAGAAGAGAGGAAACACACATGAAAGTCTGCATACTGAGAGCAGTGTCCTCACTCTGCCAGCACTGATATTTGAGATGAGCTAAACAGTGTGCATGTCTTTTTCCAGCTTTCATATCACCTCTATGGACATTTTTGCTTCATTATTATAACATAGTCATTAGCATCAAAGACCTCTGAAGACTGAAGAAGGCAGAAGACAACTTGAAAGCAGTCGCCATACCTTTGCGGCCAACCCCATTGGTCCTCCAGTCGTTGGTGAGCAGGTGGGCAGGGTGAGACGTTCGCACAACCAGATGCTGCATGTCCCTCCAGGTGAGGTTCTTACTGGAACATGTGAATATGCAAACACAAACAAAGACGCACAGAGCCACATAAAAGGAGGAGTGAAAACAGGTGGACAGCTGGACAGAAAACAATGAGGAAACAGTAACACACTCTCCTGTATAACACTTAATCTATATCAAACATGAGTTTGAACCCAGTTCCTGCCCTTTAGCTAAATGTTTCCAAAAGTGTTTTCCAGCCTGCAGCCATACAAGATGAAAAGAAAATGCCACAACATTGGGGTAACATGAGGTCATGGTTGTGTTTAACTTTCAACGCATAATTGTTTTTTGCAGATTTATTAGAACGAATTATATTACATAGTCACTCTGCTGGATTATTTTCTCATCACATCCACCCCTAATTGCAATCCTTTTCCATCACCTCACTTTGTTTTGCCACAAGACTAATTACTCGTTTTCAGTAGTTCTGCTGTTCCTGTTTGTCCCTCCATTAGTGCTGCGTGACTGGATAGGAATGATTAGTGCTAACATCAAATTGTGCTCCTTTTTTTTTTCTAAACTCTCTGCAGAAATCTGTCAGGCAGGGAGGTTAAAAGTAATTCATAACATGGGATAATCAAGCAGAACTAAAGATAAAAAACAGACCAAAAGCAATTTAGGGCAGATATTTAAAAAGTGTGTTCAATGGAATATCAGCTGTCTGAAAGTGTGTGCAGAAAAAAAGAACAATTATGTTTTTCTGATTGCCATTTAATAACCAATTTGCATTAAAAAATTAAAACGATGTGCCAGAAAAGTGATAGCAGGGTTTTTCTGAATATTTTAGTTCGCATGCAAGATGACCAATGACTTACTGTAGAATAATAAATCACTCTAATCCTGAGTCCATTCATTTTAACACTTTAAATTTACATAGGATAAAAGGATTTTAATCAGCAAAAGTCAGGAAAATATGCAGATAGAGAGGATGAGAAAGAGACTGAATAACTAGAGGAGGATTGCCAGGCAGAAAAAGGATGATAAGCACTTACTTGGCCTCGAGGGCGAGAGCGATGATCCCAGCAGCCAGCGGGGCAGAGGCAGAGGTGCCTGTGTGGGAGTCTGTGCATTTTGATTTGAGGTCTGTAGTCACCTAGGGAAGATGAACATGGTGGGCTTAAAAACAGCTCGAACAAAAACTGAAAGTTGTTCTTGCACTTTTCTGTCTATCAGAATGCCTCAGGGCTTGGACTTTACTTGTTGATGTTGTTAGAAAGTTAACATATACAGACATAACCCTCTACTAATTCACTCTGATTTCTTTTGGCCAATACACAGTCTCTGAATTCTATTTTTTTTTTTACCAGGACTGCTCTTGTGCCTTCAGTTTTAAAGAATGTATCCACAAAATATGAAATCTCTAGCAACCTGATATTTCGCTCGCTTCGTCTCGTACTTATCAAATGTATTTGCTCGAGGCAGAAACCTTCAAAAGATTTGAGTGTAGGAACAAAAAGTCCTCAGCATGACTCCGTGGGCCAGTTGGAAATTTAAAGGAGGGAAATCTGATAATTTCTGCTCACCCTCTCTTAACATCTACGAGTGAGCTGACTGAAAGCATCCATGTTGTTTTAGATGAGACAAGAGAATGGCTGTGGTTGTACAGGGCAGCTCTCTGGAGTGAATATCTGGAGCTGCATGAATACATAGCGAGGTGATGCAGAACCGTTATGTTTGTACTCTGCAAAATCCATCTCAGGAAGGATAAAGGTTAGAAAACGTTGTCGTGTGAAAAGCCCCCAGTCACCCATAGTGTCATCTTACAGGAGAGGTCTGTGTATGTGATGCACAAAGCAGTTAATATCAAAGATCTTCTATTTGTGCTGACCAGTGCACTGCCTCCAGAAACTGGTCGCTTAACCGAATAAAAACAGAATAATAAATGCACTGGCAGAACTGATTTTAATGGTCCGATTATGCATTCAGGAGATTCCCATATCCCCATTACTCCAAACTGAAGGAGAAGGATAATATGAGCATAATAAACAGGAGATTTTCACGGCTGCCTAACCCCCAGAGGTCCAACCCCTTTCTCTTTTCCTTTACTCCATCGCTTCATTCCCGGGTTCATGAGTGACAGCACAATTAAATGAGTACAGCAGTGAAGCATTAAGGGACCAGCCACATGTCACAGAGATGTCATAAGCTGTCTGTCCAGTCAGCCTGGCTGCTAGGGAAAGACTGTGTTTGTGTGTGTGTGTGTGTGTGTGTGTGTGTGTGTGTGTGTGTGTGGTTTTATGTGACAGGGATGTTAAGCAGCAACATATTGCCAGATGGAGTTTCAGCCGTTCACTATTCATAATAGCTTTAATGGTCCTAGACGGGATGAATGGAGAAGAAGAGTGAAGAAAAGGCAGAAAAATTGAAGAGTTGTGTTTCAGACAGCAGGTTTGATTTAAAGCTGTGATTCTAAATGTGATTCTTTTATTCAGCTGGATGTATTGAGCTGTTCCTCAATTACTCTTTTAGTCCCTGGAAAGCAAAATACATGTGTACATTTCCGCTATCAAAAGATAATTTTGTTTTTAAAAGATATAGGGAAAGAATTGTGCAGTTCACAGTTTTCAAAAAGTGAATCTTTATTAGTATTTGTTTTATATGTGATATTAAGCAGCTTATTTGGACTGTAGACAATTGGCTGAATTTGTAAGGCTTCCCGTTAGGCTCAGTGAGGGTTTTCCAAAATACTTTATGAAATGTATTAGATATAAATAACCAGTCTATTTGAAAAATAATCACAGTCATTTATAATAAAGTGATAATAAATGTTGCAACAACGTGTAATGTTTGTACTAAATGTAAGTGTAACTAAAAACACTGCAATCAAGAAGCACTTTAGGCAGCTTTCTAAGGAAGTTGAGTAACTCTGATAATGCAACTCAAAAGATATCTTTTTTGTATCTAAATGTAAGACTCACAAACACAGCTCAATAACTGATTCAGTTCCCTGGTAAAATGTAATTTCAGATTACACTGATTAGAAAGTTATGCTTCAATAAACTGTCCCTCTTAATTTCCCTCTTCAGCTCAAATTTGAGGATAGAATCAACTCATGTTTTTTTTCCCTTTGATAAGTGATTTTTGTTCCTACTAGGGTTTGTGACCTCCGAGAAATATGGAGCCTTTTTTTTTTAAATTGGTGTGAGCCTGTGATGTTTGCCTCGTACATGTGCACACAGATGTGGCTGAAAGGATACAAAGTGCTGCCAATGGTTTCAAGGTACTTCTGTGCTCTGCAGGTGGCTGTAAGATGCAAGAAGACGCAGCAGTGTGCCAACAGAGACTGAGGGGAAGTAAACATTGATGTACAAATTTTGCTTTGCAAATGTTTTATGAAACAGGATGTTAATTCAATGTGTTTGGGAGACCTCAGGGATACACAAAATATGTTTTGAGTAGCGCTAAATGTAAACATCCTTTTGTTTGTTTATAAATAAAAAACATGGCCCAAGTTTTGCGTATTATAACTGTTGTTGATTACTTGGATTATTGGAGAACTTTTAATAAATTATGGTTGGAGGACGTCTGTGAAGGACAAAAGAACACAAAGAACACAAGTATGGCTCACTATCTGCTTCTCGTTGAGGTTCCCCGAGCTGTAGGTGGTGGCCAGGGTGGAGGAGCAGGCCTCGCTGTACCAGGGGACATTCCCATTCTGGGTGGAGCTGCTGATGGACAGGGTGTAGATACTGTTGGTGTAGCCATCGCAATTACAGCTGTCCTTCTCCCTCCCTCCGTTACCAGAGGCCCACACAAAGATAGAGCCCAAACCACCACGACCCTGGAGCAAGATGCACAGAAATTGATTTATTGATTCATTCATTTATTATCAAGTCCTTGGACCAGCACTAAGCAGAAAGAAATTCATCTCATTCAATCTTTGAAAAGGAATACCAATTATACTAGGGCAAATTCATTTAAAAACAGGCCCATTAAAAGTCAGCATCCATCACAAGGGCTGTGTGGTCACCCCATAAATTAAAAAGAACTAAATATCACATGACCTCAATGCATTAGAAAAAAGCACTGTGTGATAAATCATCCAACCTCTCAGCCTTTGAAGTGCAATAATATTCACCTAAGAGTCTCTTATTGTTTTGAGTGGAACTGTCTCTCTCCGCATTGATCAAACACAGCTATGCACCACCATCTGACAGCACCATCACTGTGGTAAGTATCTGTGTCGTCAGTTTCAGCATTTTCAATCAGCTCTGTGGTACATGCCAAGACTCGTATAGCTCTGTAACAGGAGTCAGTTTGCTGGCTGGATGTTTTTATTCATCTAGAGCGGATGTGAAAATTTTTATATCCTGACTTATTCAAGAGATTGCCACTGAATAACTAGATGGACTTGTGACATGATCATGTGGTCCCCTAATATAAAGATTACTAGGATACTTGCAGACGAGTTTATTAAGATAAGCGCCCTCAATATATCTTTAGTTATTCGTGAATATTGTTAGGCATGTTTTTGGAGCGCCATGATAAGAGATGCTAATCAAAGACACATTCTGAAGCTCCATTAATCGCGTGATCAGACAAAAACAACCTTGATTTACACTTTAAGAGACCATGTATAGTCTAATTGAAAGAGCTGAAACAAAAACAAGATGAGCTGGCAGATACACAAAGCTCTTCAAGTTAAAAAAAGAAAAAAATAGGAAATTTTTATTCGTTCTTTCCGTCAGGGCTGCATCAAATAATTTCCAAGATTTTCCTCCCTGGTGGCTTTCACAGGACATTCCCTTCCATACATAATTGTCAGGGTAAAAAAGAAACTGCTTTGTTCCTGCCGCTTTGTCCTCTCATGCTTGAACAGTTCAATTACTAAGTGCTGAAAGAAAGCAACACACAGGCTGTAAATAATTACGCACGCACGCACGCACGCACACACACAGACACACACACACCTCTGTAACTCCATGCAGAAAGGCTTCTTTGGCAAGTTTGGCAGGTCCATCCACAGTTTTGCCGTCGTCCTCCGGGCCCCAACTGGCGCTGTAGACGTCGATGTGCTGGGGATTCAGACTGAGAGACTGGGCCTCCACCATGTCAGTCACCTCACCATCCAGCATGCGCACACCTGCAGCCGCATATGCACATGCAAAAAAACACATTAACATACAGATGCACAGAATGACATAACATGTATATCATAACAGCAGCTTAAATCACACAGCCCCTTATAATTCTTGATAACAGACTTAAGGATTTTCTTAAAGGGAAACCTTAAAGATTTGACACATCTGGCATGTCAGTGCTAGTTCATGTTGTTATTACCCTGTGAAGACCAGGCTGTGTGCTCATGTACAGCAATGATTGGCATACAAAGCCACAAAGCAACGCTGCAGTGCTGTCAGATATTCATATTTACACACTTTTTTGCAATGTTGTACAGCCTGTACCGCACATGTAGTGTTGCAGCACATGATGCTGCTGTGTATTTTTTGGGCATTCACTTTAATATTGTCATTTACACCACCATGCAAATCAACGCCAACTCTATTGATTCACTCCAGTACTGGAGCCAGTTTGTAAAACATAGAAATAGAATGAGATGAACAGCATTGTGGGTGAGCTGCCTCCTCAAGTGTGACGCCAATTTCTGAGGCTGGAGATTCAGATAAAGAGATAAAAGAAAGAAAGAAAGAAAGAAATAAAGAGTTAGACGTGTTCCTCAACACGCCTGGATAGAATTGGTATAAGTGAGTATTGATCACCAGCTTTCTTTTATTGTAACAAAAGTAAAAACCAAACTCATATCAGCAGTCTTCAAAAAAGGATGATTTATGATTGAAAGTGATCATTGATTGTTTTCTGACGAGATTGAACACGCTAACAATGCAGGAAAGGCACATAGGGAGTTTTTGTTGTTGGCTGAAGCCTATTACCTTCCCCTCAAGTTCAGAGGGTTTTTCCTTTAACAGAACTCTTCCCCCGTCTCCAAACATGCACCCTCAGAGAAAGTGGTGAAAAATCAAATACCCTAAATGCAAACTAATTTCTCTCAGTTTATGCATGGCATGTCAGGTAACTGCACACTGATCTTTATGGGTTAACAGAACTCAGCTCTGGGTCTTTGAAGTCCTCCAAAAGCATCAAACACACGATGAGCTGCTAGTGTTTCCATGGCAGCCTGCATTTCTGTGAGAGGACCATGTGATTCGCTAAACTCAAGTATCTTCAGTACCCTTCAAAAAGAAAAAGAAAAACATCCATCCCTACAACCAGAAATAAAGGATGATGAAAAAAATGCACAGGGCAGAATTATAATCAATGTCAACAGGCTTAACAGAAAGTGAGCAGATTCTAGTCTACTTAGTCAAACAAACAATTTTCGCTCATTAACTCTTGCTCACATTAAAGTTTTCTAACATTTTACATCTGATTTAATTGTTGTCTGCTCTTTTTGCCTCCATTTGAGAAGACTTCATCCTTGTTTCAAACAAAGTAGAAGTTAGACATAATCCCTAAAGTGATACTCACATTTTTTTTTTTCTTGAATTTAGTGAGATGAGACGATTGAATGCACTCATGTCCGTACGCAACATATGAACCTAAAACTGGCATGCATAGTTCTGCTTTGCATGTCTTAAGACTGAAAAACGTGGAAACAGTTGGAATGGCTCAGTCTGAACTGAAGGTTATAAAATTAAACAAAAGTACTTTTGAGAATGACTGTACAAATATTTCCCAAAATGTGGTATTTTTGCTTGAAAAATAACATGTAAGTTGACCGAACAGACAGATAACAAATTCCTGAAAATAGCCTTGGTGGAGACCCTGAGGGAGGGGAGCTCTGAGCTGACATTTGCAGTAACTCTGTGTTATATTTATTGTCCTTTTGTCGAGTCTGAGGGGTTTCTTTCAGTTCACCTGAAGGACTTCTTTGAGCCCTGACACACTCATGTATAGTAGAAGATCTAAGCCAGCCGAAATGTGTTTGAATCTAGCATGAAATATTTCACAGGAGTCTCCTGGGTGAATAATATGTTACAGTACAGCAGGTGGCATTGGTGGGAAAGTGGACAGGTTAGGAATCAGAGAAGCTTTTGCACTGCTGCTCCTGTCTTCAGCCGTTCTAATAAATTCTCCCTGGCCACCAGAAGAACTAAACTGGCCCAGCTGGCTTGGATTTAAAACATTTTATTTTGGTTTTTGATGTTTAAGGGGAAAGCTGGCTTTCTGTTTACAGTTCATGTCTGACCTGCAAAATCTGGACTACTCAGTTTTAACTGGGTCAGATCAGTGATAAGTGAAGGTCTGGCTCATCACTGCTCCTCGTACCAGGAAGTAATTCATCCCTTCACCAGCTACCATGAGCACCATGAGCTTACTTTCACATATCAAAAAATCAAACTAAGACTTTATAGGATGGAAATAAGTATTGAAGGAGGAATCAAATGTTTGGAAATAAGATTTGTTTATTTGAACAACTGCTTCAATTTTAGATATTTTTAAGCTTGAGTTTTTACGTGTTAGAAAAATAGTCCTTGTGGTTTAAACACGGCCTTGTCAGAGATTTGAATCTGCTCCGTCAGTTTTGAAATGTTGTGTGGATTTTTTTGAAAAAATCATTAGCATCCTACTGACTTGTCCAAACCAACAGTGCAGCTAGTTAAGCGGCAGTAGCTAGTGAGCTAGCCATCAGCAACAGCTACCAAGAACTGTTTAGCTATGTTAAATGGAATCTAATGTGTTGTAACAATGGCTGATGAAGTTAACAAAGAGGCTTTTCCATGAGTAGAAGTTTGCAGCTGATGCTTTCTGAGCCATAAATCATTTATTGACATAGCAAGCAGCAAAGCTATTCAATTGGCATTTATAGATGATGCTAATGTATTTCTGAGAGATAATATGCATACATCTTTCTGATTCTACTGATTTATCAAAATACCAGGCTGCCTCCTGCTCCATGTTCATGCCCACACACATCTACTGGCTGTGTTAAAAAAAGTTGAATGCCATGTGGTGTGTTCCTGCCTGCCATCTGGAATGATCATAAAGACTCAAGTTATAACACTCGGAGAGGTAATGAAAGCATGCACCAGGAAAAAGGAGCTCCTGCAGTTAAAACACTACACATTATCAAAGCATAAGACACTGCAAGTCATTCTCAGCACAGGAGCAAGTTATAAGCAAACACAAAACACAAGCACGTGTAGTAGAAATGTGACCATGCAAAAAAAATAAAAAATGAGCTTTGATCTTTATATCCCATTTAATTTAGATAACTACTGGGATAAAAAAGCTTACATAAAACATTATGAAATAATAATAAAATAAGTTGTTCAAATGAAAAATGTATACAAATCAACGTTGTTGTTTTTGAATATCACAAAGCCACTGAAGATTCTTTTGAAGAACGAGAACAGTTTTAAAAAAGCGCTCTCCCTGAAGGCAGAAGCAAAACAACACATCAGGGTGCAAATCCTTTTTAGAACAAACAAATTAATATTTAAATATATTTTTCGACATTCCCAACTTCAGTTTTTTTCAGATTCATCTTTCTGTCTTTTTATCTCTGGCAGAGGAAAATGTTCTTAAAATAATAAAATCCTTTCATAATTAAAATATGATGTTTTCTACTAACATTGCCACTCTGTAGTCATCATCTGCCATCTAAATCCACATTCTGTTTGTAAAGTAAATTCACACCTTGTCTTCAAAAATGTACGCCTGCTGAAGTTTGGGAAAGTACAAGGTGACATTAAAGCAAACACAAAGTGAGTATAAGTACACAGACTTGTTAAAAAAATGATGTTTGAGTTTAACCTTGATCCCTCTCTGACTCAGTCTTCATTTCCAAGCTTGCACAACATTGGCACTGCCACAACGCTTACACAGTTTCAGTTTTACCCACCACAAAAAAATAAAAATGTTTGGTCATTTGCTTTCTAGACAAAAATTTGGGAAGAAAAATGTGTCAGATGAAAAACAATGAGATAAAGTGACAGAGACAGAGTGCAGGCCAGATATATTTTGTATTTATTTCATTAGCTCAGCAGTGGAAGGCAAAACAAGTCTGCATGGCATAATGTTGGTGACGGTCGATGGGTGATGAAATATTCTCAACTAAAGTGACACATTTAAGTGAGTGTGGCTCAGGAGCAGAGGGGGCCGACACCACAGCAGGGGAACAACAAGGTCTCGACAAATGTTTTTTTGACGATTTGACGCCAGCCTGTCTGTGGCATCACTTCAAAAGATTCCTGATTTGCCTTTAACAAACTGAAGACAGCATCTTCAAGCCCTCCGTCTCTTTCAGACGTCCCTGAACATGGTGAGTTAGCAGTTTACAAGCTACATCTGTACAACATAATGTGAAACAGCAAAACTGCTACAAAGCCAGCTATATTCCGATATTGCTGTGCTTTTGTCAAGAGGGTTTTAACACAACTGTGCTATTTATGTTGTCTCCGCTCCACTGTAGCTATAGGATTATGCTAAAAGTACACGCTAAAAGTGTGCAGTATGTTTTGTCTGCACCATTTTTCAGTAGATACTGACATATAAATTTGACATTAAGTGAAAACATGTTGCCTTAAAACTGCCATTTTGAAACTTGACAATAAAGATGTTTCAATACCATTACTATGTAAAAAACTAATACACTTACGGTGAAGAATGTATGGAAACCTGCACATGTGGTTCCCTGGCATCAAGGTGATGCTAGGGATTATTTAAACAATTATCGTCCCATCCCAAATTACCCTGTCTTGCAATAGTTATGGAATCTTCAGTAAATAACCAACTCAAGCCCTAAAAGTGCATGTGCCCGTTTCAGGATCACTTGTTAAGTTAGGTCACCGTAAATAGGAATTTTTGTTCACTAATAGAGGTGTGCCACAAGGTTCAGTCTTGGGTCCCATGCTCTTCATGGTATATATTTCTGACATTGTTTCTTCTTTGAATAGTTGTCATGGGCATCTCTATGCAGACAACACAATTTTGTATTGTATTGAAGATTCCGTAAAATTAGCCATCAAAAACTTTTAACTTGAATTGAACAGTGTATTGGCGAGTCACATGGTGAGACTTTGGTGATGCTAAAGATTAAGAGGCATGAAGTGCCCGGGAAAAGGACTGAAACTAAAACTCCTGCTACAGAACATGTATTTCAGCAGTTCTGTCAGTCACAAAAGAAAATGAAACCAAGGTTTTTCCTTACGGGAGATCAAATAAATCACTGTCTTGTTTTGAGCTGACCGTACCTCCAATCTTGGCATTGTAGGCAACGCCGACTCCACAGAATCCATTGTTGGCCACCGCAGCAACTTCTCCTGCACATCTTGTCCCATGCCTGGAAAGAGGAAAGATAGAGGAAATTAGACGGATATTAATATAGCAAACCACTTATCGTTGTGCAAGAGTCATTATTCTAATGACAGTGTTTTACTATGTAAACTGTGACAACAGAGGTAGCATTCATTTCTAAAAACAGCTGCTTATGTTAAAAATGTCCTTCCCTAATGTAGAAAGAGAAAAAGCTAACTCAGAAATGTTCTTGGCTTCAATTCTTTAAAGCAAATATGAATTCCCACATCAGTCCAAAAGAAAACATTCAGTCTATCAATGTAGACCACTGTTCATTATCTATAGCCTTCTAGCATTAAGGACCTTCGAATGCCTTAGGGCCTTGAGACAAGCTAAAGAATCAGATGACATGTCACACATACAGGGGGTGAATAAGATTTGCTGTTTTTACAATGGCTGTTTTATTAAACCTGGGCCCGTGTAGTAAGCTCTAGCTGCAGGCATCGCAGTGTAGCGATCCAAGGAGCTGCTACAGAGGAGCTGATCATCACATTCCAGTCAGGTGCACTCTCATGGTCTGCCAGATGGATTTGCACCATTAATGCCCTTCAAACCTGAACACAACCCCCACTGGAGTGCAGCCCTTAACAGAGAGGAATGCTGGAGCCTCGGAAACACTGTGCCACACCAGGAAACAAGAGAAACGCATGAAATTCACTGCTGACGGAACTTTCTATGCCAGTAGGCCTCCATTAAGGCAGTCAGGGTATCAAGCCAAACCAAAAACAACCTGGATGCAGTACATATCCTCCTCTGACACATTAGTATTATTTTTACTGACAGGATTTAAGGGAAATTTAATTTAAGGGTAGTCTGCAATTAAATATATTTCATTTAAGTGTTTAATGAGTATTAAACACGCATTATGTGATCTCTGTTTCAAAGGAATAAAGATGTAGTTTGATGAAGTGTTGCTGGAGCAGTCATGTTCACGTACGGTTTAAACCCTACGCCATTTTATTCAGATGAATTAGCTTTCTAACAAACAGTTATTTGATTTAATAATACATCAATCACAGAAATCAAATTACCTGAAGAGCAATTAAAACAGTTCACAATAGAGAAGTCCGAGGTCACAAAAGCCAAAACCTGTTTTTATTCAGCTGTCTTATTCACAGTATTCTGAAGACTTCTGCTTTCATTAAAGACACTGGTATAATGACACAAGGTCAGAGAATTATAATTCCTCAGCAGGTCCTGAGAGATCTTTTTAGACACGGGGGTGAGCTAAAAAGAGCAGAGGTTAATGACAATGTCCCAGTCCAAATCAGCATCATAAATCGAATGTGTCACAGGACTTTATTTGAATAAAGTCAGACCCGAAAGGCGAAGGTCTGCCGGATGCACACACGCACGCACGCACGCACGCACACACACACACACACTCTCAGAGAACTTTATCTCAACATTCCTGGAAGTGCTAGTCTGTTGACTTTGGAGTCTGATGTTTGACAGGCAGCATCCGTGTTTGTGATGTAGCTGAAGATAAGAAGCAGCTCAGGTGTCTGTATTTGATGCAGAGCATGCATAGGCTTATAACTTCAGTGTTCACCTGAGCCTTTTTCCAAATTTCTTCTTGACACATTCATTACAGTCACTTACATGGCACACTGATTCATAGCATACAAATGCTGATACGGAGTGGAAGCTCTCAGTTTCTGTAACTGATTATGCAAGAAAGACTTGCACAATCAGGTTTTCCCAGGAGTGATAAAATGGATACAAGAATCCTTCTACTGCTCCCACTCAGTGTTTGGGTCAATAAGAATATGAAGAAGAGTGCATCAGTGGGTCAAACACTTTATTGAAATGTACTTGTGAAAGCAGCCTGCTCGCTGCTATTAATTTACTAAGGGGTCTGTAACATAAAATCATTTTCATTTAATTTCCATATAATCATTAGGTGCAGAAGTATTTTGGTAGGAATCAAGATGGTTAGTTCAGCTAATTACTTTTACAATGAAATGTAGCTCTTTAGGTGATGGTGGAGAAAAACATTCAGAACTAAAAGAAAATTGGCCCTATTCCTTTTCTATAAAGCTGTGATCTGATCCAATGACAGCTCGCCTCCGACCCCCTCTGACCTTTAACAGTATAAGCTCTATAGGCAATGGATGGAATTGCTAAAATAGTTTCAGATTACTTTTAAATATCAATAATTCATACATTTTCCTGTTATTTTCCTTGTTAAACAAAACATAATGTGTTCCAAAAAACAGTTGGAAAATGTATGATGTGTAAATTTGACAAAACAAAATGCCTCAGATCTGAGAGCACAGAAGCAGACAAGGACCAAATAGAGGATAATGACTATCTAAAGCACATGTATTACAGTTAATAAAATAATCTTGAACCTGCTCTGACCTTTCTAAAAATTAATCTATCAGCGTGACATTATGTGCACACACAGCCTTAAGCCTTCATGATGCTTCACTACACTAGTAAATGTTAATTTATATCACAAATGATTCTAATAGTGTATGGCACTAATCCCCATATGCAGGATTATATCATAGCTAATTAGAAGCCTTGACTGTGTGAGTTCATATGTCAACTGAATGAGCAGTCACAATGAGACGCCTGAGGGAGCCACCAGTCCTCTGACAATAAGAGCAAGGTTTGACTTCATATCCTCAATTTCTCTGTGCGTACACATTTCTACAGATAGACTGACATCACATGAAACCAGACCCGGATCCAACCTCTAGGCTCAGTGTGTTTTAGAGAGGAGGCTGGAGAGAGGTGACAGCACAGCTGCACTGGAGATCATCACATGAAGGGCTGCAGTGAAAATAGTCCCGGACATTGTCTGCAGGAACAAAGAGCTGTCTGTCACGACAAGCACATCATTGTTCAATCAGTTGTTAACAAGCACCAGGGATTAATTATCACTGCCAGAATATCTGTCTGATAGATGGTTCTCTGACATACAGGCACTCACAGGCTTTATTTCCTCACTGGTACTCACAGGGATGTCTTCACTCTCAACTGCATCCACTTCTTCAAAGCACAATAAGAATTCTGCTTGAAGCTAAAATCCCAATGACTGTTTTCAACGAGTGCTCTTTAACAATAAGAAAAAAACACATTTGGGTTTTTGTCAAAGACTTTAATATCTTGGCCAGTCATTCAACAAGTGGTTGTTAAAGGATTTGTTGAGGAAAAGATTTAACTTGATCTGATCTCAAGCAATGACCTCGTGTTCTAGTACAACAACACCTACTTACTGAACTTAACACTATTACAGTAGTTTCATAGGCACATTTTGTTAGAAGTCACTTAGTCTGGTTTGGCCAGTTTGGGACAATTTGCTATTAATTTTAATAGCAAGACTTTGTCAAGAATTTGTCACAAGCATCATTACTTGGGTTTGGGGGAAAATTGATTTGGCAATATATCATGGTCCTGATTAAAATTAAAGAATAACAAATATGGATATTCAAAGAAAACAATCTGAGGTACTCTTAACAAATTTCCCTGACAATTTCATTCATTGTGCCACTACCTCATGACTCCTCATGGTGGTGCTTAAGTCATGAGTGAGAGTAACTTGAACAAGAGTAAATTGGCCAAAGAAAAAGTTGACAGCAGGATAAAAGAAGAAGTCAGCGTCATAATTGTGTTTTCATCAGATTATCAATGATGTTTCATTATACGATTATTTTGCAATAAATCACTTATTACAAAATAGCTGGATTGTGATATTATCCTTATCGTGGTCAACATATTGTGCTTATTGTATATTGTGTATCGTATTGTGAGTTATCCTGCTATTCCCTACACTAATCCTCACACTGTTTTTTAAATTGAAAAAATTAACACAGTACTGTGAAGACACATCATAAATATCACTGAATACAGGTCAAGCTGCTCCCTGACTAAAACAAAACCAAGTGAAACAATAGTCAAATAGTGTAGGTGTCTGCCAAACTTCCAATGTGATGCAAGCTCTTCACATAGCGATTAAAAGGTTCAAAATTTACAGCATCCCTTAAAGAGGCAACACACAGTAAGAACAGCAAATGATTTTTATTTGAAAGACTTCTATGACTTCACTAATCCAGCCCAACAAATCCTCATGGAAAAGTTCTCCCTGTGAAAGGAGAAAGGGAGAAGATTGTGAAGGCTTATAAAAGCCCTTTTATTTTTATTTTTATTTTTATTAGAGACAATGTGCAATAATCTCAGGATTCACGCCTCAAATGTAACGTAGATGATAAGAGATTATGGTGAACAAAGGAGAATTTCAGTAAAGTCTTGTTCCGATTACAGGCCAGGACAATCCCCATGGCAGATTCCACTCACACAGACTAACTCGGGTTACAGTTGGCCGCAGGCCCGGAGGCCAACGACATGATCAGTATTCATCCCCACAGCTGGAAGAGCCATTATCACTGTGCAGGACCTACACTGTCTCTCTTTGGAGACCTGCTCAAGAGGCATGCTATTGTCATGAACATGTTTTAAACTGTGTCTGTTGAAGGACTGGAAAAATGTTAACCAAGACCTTTAACAGCAACACTTCCTGTCTGTGTTCATTCATTTGACACTGACAAACACTGGTTACAGGCATTAAAAAAAAATCTGTCTACTCATTGATGGTCTGGTTTGCTTGTGTAGGTCATATAGGGGCATCAGTTTCATCTTCATCGTGTTCCAGAACTTGTTCAAAAATCCTCACAGCAGCTTTGAAATTATTTTGCCGCTTCAGCCGTAAGATTTTCTTTTTTTCTTTGACCCTTTCCACATGAAGCTACCTTTTCCCCAGATCTAATATGAAGTGATGGGGACAGCAAAAGTCGGAACCACCACCACAAAGACATATAGGTATAGGCAGCCCATTATATATTTTGGGAGCATGTAAGGCCTCATCAGATAGGCAGTTCAAACATCAAGTGGTGCATCCAGACAGTGATGTGTTTTTTCCCCCAACAACTATTTTTTAGCCAGTCTGACATTTGACTGAAATGCCAGATTACCAGCCCATGCCTGTGTCCATCATTGCATTGATCTTTTTTTATCTTCAAAGTCCCACTCCTGGCCCCATTGAGAGTCTGCTACACAACATATTTCACTCAGTTGCCTTTTCTCTCTTGCATTAGCTTAATTACTTTCTACAAAAATCATTGAGGCTCTAGAGGCCAGATAGCAGTGTTTGCTGTTCATTAGTCTTTTGGATGCACATAGCCTCAAAGGTACATCGGAACAACTGTTTTGCTCTGCTTGTTCTTAAGTCTAGTAATGGTTCTGCCAGTTCACTAATGAGCTGGCCTTCAGGATTAAAAAAAAGGTCTGGACATGTTTTTAGAAGATGGTAAAGAGAAGGGTATGATGAAAGTGTCTAGAGAGGGATAAATGTAGGGGCTAGTGAAAATGAATCTGCCTTCTGTTAGTAGATCTGTTAAATCGATCCTTCACAATGTGTGTCAACATTTCTGAATATTTTTGCTTAGTCATTTGGCACTTTCCAAATGTTTTATGAAGCACATATACGTCAAGATTATTTGTAATGTTTGTTGCTCATGTTGAATAGTGCAATAAATATGACACTTTTCCATCGTTTTGGGGGTAAGCCTAAAGAACAAAAATGAAAACTTCCAGTTTCAAGTGTGAAAAGATGCAGATTTGAAAAGAATCCTGATATGAGTCAGAAGAAAACCTGGATCTCATGCCATCTTAGATAAACAAGTCGTTGAATGGCTACATTGCTGCTAAACCATCCTCACTGCTTCCTGTATGCTGGGAAAGAAAGGCAGCTTTATGAAGGTGAACAGAGTTGGGCTTCTGCGAGGAACAGATACTTACAGTCTTACACAACCTCACGCATTTTCATGCTCGCCCACAGGTTGTTTACACATGCATCTGCACCTACCCACTGCAAAGTAAGAGAAACACACACGTACACAAATATGCTCCCTCACATTTCATCCTGCCATGAGGAAGCCACAGAGAGCTGGGTGGCAAGAGATAAGGGCTGAGGTGAGCGAGGGTTGGAAAGAGGAGCAGCCAGAACGAGGAAACATCAATAGTGAGTGTCTCGGCTGGGCTCTGGGCCACCGAGAGCCCCCAGAAGAGCTTATGCGTGCTTTGGCATAGATTGAGGATCCGCGGAGCTGCACCACAGGGATGTTCTCCCACATTCTTCTACAAGAAATTCCCCATTTAGGGTTTTGTTGATGGCAGTGGTGAAAACATTTACAGGCACTGGCACAGAATCATAAAAAAACACTAGAATTGGGCTGAAGTATAAAGTAAAGGCTTATCATTTGAATTGTCTCCATGTTTAGAGGAAGTATTACTGATGACTTTAAATGTGTGAAGTTCTTTTCTAAAATTCTCACTCTATTTTGAGTTTGAAAACAACTGAACACCTACTACAGTCAGCTTCCACCTTTGATACGTTTAACAAAGCCTTTAAAGACTTTATACAGTACTGGCAAAGCTGCAGTGTGTTACGGTCATTCTCCACCTGGCTTCCCTATCCATGGTGCCCACTCCAGGACCCTGTGCCTACTGGGGGTGTTTGATTTTCATCCATGACAAACTATTGTTCTGTGTCTATCACCTGTTATCATAGTGAGCCTAATAATCAAAAAAGCCTCTCAGTGCCCCACAAACTGGCAGATTAAAAGCTAATCAGAAGTTCAAGTCAAACAAGGCAGGTGGTGTGAATGAAGGAAGACAAGCACCAAGAGATTTGCTGATTCATTAATGCTGAAGAACTTAATTGAATCAATTCTCTGCAAGACATCACTGCGGTGGTAAACAACTCCTAATGTCATCAGCAGAGGCCACTGCAATAAAGATGTTTTCTTCACACACTACCTTAATCCATGTGTAGATTTACACGACTTAGCCGGGCTGCAGAAATGCCTCGGGGGTGACTGAGTGGCTTAAGAGGCTAAAAGAAAACCACAAACTCTAAGTTGGGGGCAAGCTCTATATGGAGGAAGTAATTGTGCAATTTAGGAAATTAAAAAGCATGAAATGGAGGAAAATTGAAATGTCTTGGACAAAACAAACCTCACAGGCTTTGGCCTTTAATTAGTTTGTCTCCTATAAATGTGGCCCTTTGACTCGGCAGCGGGTGATTAACAACCACATGCTTATTTACACATCAGCTGTCAGCCTTCAGACAGTGAGGGGGAAGAATTAATGAACACGTGTAATTTCATCCTGACATGACTTCCACATGCAGCAGACATTTAGAAAAAAACATGCTTGTGGTTCCAGGGCAGTCTGGAGGATAAGGAGAAGAGAAGAAAACACATCATAGTTGGATGTTTCTACCTGTTGTCATTGAGCTGCGTGTATCGAGGCTGTGGATCTGGGTCGCCATCGTTCACATCATAGCTGGCATTCTCGTCCTTAGAGAAGAAATAAAAGATAAGCTGTCAGAGTGAGGTAGAAAAAAAATACACAGCTATTTTCAAATTCTAAGTATGCAAATATCTGCAAAATATTAAACTTGCTATTTTTTCAGGGTGGACATGATTCTTAAAATCCTTCAGCTCAGTTCTAAGAAGTCACTATCTCTGATTCAAAATCTGCTCCATTTATTCTCTTTTTATCTTTATTCTTTTTGCTGCAACTTCATGCCGTCCCTGTGTGAGAAGATTTCTGTTTCAGCTCATTCCAGTCATACTCACATAGTTCTGGCTCAGGTCCGGGTGGTTCTTCTCTATCCCATCATCCAGGATGGACACCACCACCCCTTTACCTGTGTAGCCCAACTGCCACGCAGATTTGGCATTCAGGTCACGGTGGTTGCTGTTATACTGAGGATGGAGAAGGCAAATAACTTAGAATCTCATTTATCTGAGGGACACCTGAGAGTTGACAGGACTGTGCTTTTAACTAAACCCTGAAGGGCTTACTCCAAAATAGAAGACAATCAATTAAGAAATTTAGATGAGGAGTGAGCTTCAGGCAGCAGCATCAGCGACAAAAAGGGGCTGCTTATTGAGTTTCAGTCATTCTCCCTCACAGTGAAACACTAAAGTTTCTAGATGAGGGGGAAAGGGTATTACAATATTAAAAAGAGTATCTCTATTCCAAAAAGCATCACAGCATGCAAGCATTTATTGCATTTAATATCAAGCAGAGCAGCAGCACCCAGTCATGATTCTGTATGCTTTTTGATACGCTTCTGACATTCAGCTTGACCTTTGGTCCAAAGCCCTGCCTGCTTTTAATCGAGTTCAAAGCTCACCCCTTTCTTTTTTCAGACGCTTAGAATTGCAGTCCGTCACACAGGGAAAGGTTTGCTTTCCAACCTTGCAACGTCATTCACACTTCAACCATTGAGAGGAAAATCAATTAAAGCTGAATGTTGTGATCTGCAATGCTGATTCAGATTGTAGAGGCATTATGTGTAGGATCTGCTGAGTGTCTAGGTTTCATTTTGGATATTGCACTAAAACTACGTCTTTTTTGTTTTTCCCTTACTATCAGAATTCCTCCTGCACACTGAGAGCTTGATCTACGGCTTAAGATTTCAGCTTTGAGGCAAATCTATGATTCATCAGTCGGAAAAGAATCTGTCCTATCATTTCGATATCAGAAAAAGACTCAAACATTCATTGTAGTAGCAGATGCTGACCATTAGTATCTGTCCACAAAGGACATCCTGCACACAGACCCACCCACACTCTCCTCCTCCGGCTGGCTGGGTTTGGTTTTAATGAGGCCCGATTTATTTTCTGCCAGGACAGAGAGGCAGCACACTTCTGTAAGCCGGCAACCTTTGCTTCATCTTTGTGCTTCTAAATTAATGAAACCTTTATTGACCCCAGGGGACTTTGCTTTGCACCTGAAGCATGCAAACATATCTACAAAAATAAATAACTTTTTTTCTCTTCTTCTCTTAAACAGCTTATAATTCACAAACAAATATTGATGCAAGGAAAAATTCTTATACCGGACCAAGAATGACACTTCATCTAAAGCTTTGATGCAGATAATTTAAGGTTAAAAAGAAGCTAATTAGCATTTGAATTGGTTTTCTTGGATGTTCATAATATTGCATCAGGGAGGTTAATAAGATGGTTTGACCAACATGTACATTCAGAGTGAACTGTCTCAGGACTGATAAAAAGCTTTTCCATTGTATTTGGGGAAATCATTCCTGTTACATAAAGGACAAACTTAAATTTGCATCAAACAGAAGCAACAAGAAATGTTGGTATCTCCAACACTTGATGCTGACTTGACATTGCCTTTCATTTTGTTAACAATGTACATGTTCAACTGTACTTTTTTGTGTCACTGTTGAAATGGTGACATTTACATTCTGCTCAGAGCTCAGCTGATCCCACCAGTGGAAAGGATCTGAGAATAGCAAAGGTTGTTGCTCCAGTTTTCATATCTCTTGTTGTTTAATGAGCTTACAACCTCACAGGCTGTCTGCCGATGCAGACAGAAATCAATCTTAGTTTTGAATTTTTTACTCTCATACATGTTCAGCACTGCTTTAAAAACATTACTAGAGCTATAATGATACTGTTTAAGAACATTATGCATTCTCTGCTTCTTTGTAACCAGTTTCCTATCATACATTATTTAAATGTGCTGCTTTATATTTTGTCATCCAAAACTGTACCAACAGTTTCCAGAGCTGCAATGAGCTGTAGATTTCCCCCTTACTGTTAAAAGCTGAGTGCAGTTTATCAAATGTGAGGATTTGTATACTTTTTGTCATCAATTTGACAGTCAGAGGAATATCCTCTGGACATGGTGTACTTCTTGGAAAATAAATCATTTAGAGAACATCATTTCATGCTCTGAATGTTTTATTTTTTCATTCTTTGCCCTGACATTTAATGGCCCAAACATTATTGAAAAAACATGTGGCAGATTCACTGATAATTAAAATGTTATTAGGTTGCACTTTCATTCCTGAAAGACAGTAACAAGCACCTAAATTTGACACAAAACCTTTCCAAATCCATATCCATCACAGACAGGATTTACTCGGCTATCAGTTAACGACTTTCAATTCTTGTGACTAAAGTCAGAAGCTGTTACACCAAGTAACATTGATAAAACCAGGCGGCAGGCTTTTATCTGCTCATTTGCCTTTCAAGCTGCTGCTAACTACTGCAACAAGGGAAGTCAGCCTGCCTCCGTCAAAGCCGAGACATTTTGAACTACTGGTGATGCAAGTCTGTTTTGCATTAGCGTGAGTCTTCTTTTGCCTGAAGCATCCTCGCAGTAATTGAAGGAAGAGTGGAGCTGAAGAGAAAATCTCAGGGGTTGTTACAGCTGCTTCTAACAGGCCAATGAATCAGTGACATTCCTCTAGTCAAACGTGAAAATCAATCAGCTGAGAACAAGAGCGCTTCAAGGTGAATCACCTCCACTTTCTCTGCTTTCTCTCTTTGTTTCTGTCTTAAAATTCAAGCCAACCAAAAAATTGAAAAGGGATGCAATTCGGAAATCACAGACACTCTGAGTATCTTCACTGAAAGGAAATGCTTGAACAAAAGCAGAGACATGCACAGAGTCGTGCTACTTCTTCTGCAAACAAGACACACGTCAGCCTTTCACACCAAGACATACAATACTGGATGCACACTGGCTTGTGTTTTGACAGCAGAGGAAACAACATCACCACAGATTTAATTAGCTTTATTGACTTTCAGTGGCTAGAAAGCTCAACAAGTATTCAATGCTGATTTGTGTCTGACAAACACACACACACCTAGCTTCATGTTTAATACTCACCAGGTACCACTGGTCTCTGAACTTAGGATCCAAAGGTTCCACATAGACGTCCCTCTTTTTCCTCCGCTTTGACACCTGTTGTTCCGCCCAAGTTACCTGAACAAGGATGGCACAAATAAACAAAAACATGTACAAAAACATACTTTTGAATTGATACTCAGCAATGAAAAATACTCAAGCTGCAAAAGCAAATTTTCAGCAAGATGACGTGAGACGAAGTGAGACTAGAGACAACGGGGCATCGAGGACCCCTCACTAATCACTAATGAGACTCCACACCAGCAGGCTAATTAAATGTCTAGATTGTTGTAGAATGAGATGCACAAAGATTTAATATGCACTCGGAGAGAATCTTAACATATATGCGCACAAAGAACAAACACACAGAAGTACATTTTCAGTACGAGTCTCACAACAACAGTAATGCGGTCTGCAGCTGGCTTTCCCAATGTGTGAGTTCCTGCAGAAAGTGTTGACAGAGGCATTTTGCATACAGGGGAAAGTAAGCCTGCATCTTACTCCCTCTGCAGAATCGTGCTGGCTTTACAGCAAAAACTGGCTGGGTGGACCAGAAAAGAAACAAAATATGTCGGTTAAAGAAGACAGAGAGCTGCCTGCTGCAAGGACGGAGCACCTCATGTGAAGGACGACCGAATCACAGCGCACCTCTCCCTCTCTCTGCAGATCACCAGAGACACAAGAGTAAAAAAGAGACAAGAAGTGATGAAGGTCACATTAGCTGCAACAATGAAACGATGCCAATTCAACACTGGCATAATAAAACGCTATAACGGAATCGTTTATCTTCAAGGAGTAGAGGTTTGTGTGTGAGGCGTCAGATCTGTGTCTCATATCTGTTACTGGTGAGTTTAAAATGGGGGAGACATTTCCAGTTGATTCTTACTGGGAGGATGAGGTCAGCAGTGGGAGGTACAGCTGTGGCAGATTTCCACACTAAACTTTTCCACTGTGAGATGGGGCTTTTGACACAATGAGTCAAAACTCAAACTACTGCTGACAAACTGTGTGTCAGCAAATGCTTTTTTGGTGAAAAAAAGTTGCCAGTTGTGGGAGGAAATAAAAGGAAGCAGTCTGTGTTTGCGCAGATGGAAAAGGGCAGATAACCAAGAAAGGGGGAGAGGCAACAGTTTTTTGGACCAACAGGGGATCTGACAGTCTCATTACAGTAGATGCTGAGAATATAAATTAAGAATATCTCTAAAAATGGGAGACTGGCACAACAATTTTTCACTTTCGCTAGTGTTGTCAGCATGTGGAGCTTAAGAAGAAAAATGAATCTGATCTATCACATTCAGAAAACAAAGGCCTGTGTCTTGTATTCTATTCGGCTAAATTCATCAGCAGCACAGCAACAAGAAGATGAATCTAGTTAGGGGGGTAGGGGTGTCCACTGCTAAGGATTTAATAGTCAAATCTGATCTGTAAGATATTGCCTACAGTCAACTGATCGTAGATTTCTTTTTTTTACGCTCAATGATCCATATTCTCATTTGCAACTCAAGAGATAAAACACATAATTAAACTATTTGTCTTCTAGATTTGGCATTACAATGTATTCTCTGACAGGACATATTGCACACAGAAACAAATCGATGATCAAACCACAAAATCTAAATTGAGGCGACAATCAGACAGTGGTGGCATATATAATTTTTTTATTTGTAGATTTATTTACATTTAGAATGAAATACATTTGTGAATCCTTCTGTGTGCATTTGTGAATATTGAGACTGATCTAACTCCATTAACATTGGATGCTCGAATGTAACAATGTGTCCTCTCAATCTATAATTTATTCTTAACCGTATCACAACTTCAAAAAGGATAGATTCAGATCTCTAGAGTTTCTCAAAGCTTTTCATTTGTGACCTTATTACAACAACTGATTAGTTGGAAACTGGGTGGGTCTAGAAAAAGACGGGCATTTTTTGAATGCCAGTGACCTTATTTTTCACACAAGCTTCCTGTATTAATCAAAACGCCAGCATTGACAGAAAAGCAAACTGTCTCATAGACAAAGACTTGTTTTTTTATATATATATTGAGAATTTGAGAGAGACCAAATGCATCTTCATAGTCTGTGAGATTGTCAGTGAGATACACAAAGCTCGTTTCACTTGCGTAATAGAGTAGTGTGTTATTTCCCCTCTTCCATTTCCTTTGTAATCTTGGTCATCATGCAATCCTGTGTGAAACCTTGTTTTCACACGTATGTGAGGTAGGTGTCTGTTTCACTGCTGATCATAACATTTTTGGTTTCTTAAGAAAAACGACGTGGTGTTTATGAATGAGTTGTCATCTGGGGCAACACAAGTAGTTATGTATAAAATGATGTGCAAGGCAGCTGACTGTTTATGCGCCATGCAGCTAAAATAGCTTGCATTCAATCTAACCTGCATCTCAAATAAACCCATTATCCCTGTGGTGCATGGAGTGATATTCATTTCCCTTGGTATTGTACCCTATATAAAAACATGATATGTATGCGTCCTGTGCATGCCTTTCCCTTTTCACACTTCAGCTGCAGAAGAAATGTAACAGGGATGCTACTAGGTCTATCTAGACTAACTATGTGCCCCCACGAGTAAAACTGGAGTCAATTTACTGACCTTAGTAAATACAAAGATTTTAGTCCAATATTATTGATTTGTCCCTGAAACAAGTTGTCATGACATGACATAAAAAAACAAGTGTAGTTAGGTCACAGGAGCAGTTGTAGAGCTATCAAGGTACCTTTGTAATTTGTTTCACTGACCCTCTTAATAGGTGATTGTTGCTTAAAGCGAGGGCTCTGATTGAGGTCTTAATGGGCCAAACAGTACAACAACGTTTTAGAATTTCTCCAGAATATTCCTCAGCTAGTAAAGCCCAAAATAGTTAGCAAGCCGCAATTCTAAGTTAAGTGCCAGAAGAGGTTTTTTGACAAAGACCGGCTGAGACTGATATACTTAGGAAAGGATCCCTACCGATAAAGACCATTTCGTTGTAAAGTATGATTCTTCAACCGAACACATCGAATTCTTGCAGAGAGGTGACCTGTTGCAGGAAGACAACGATGATAATGTGGGTTAGAATTTCCCAGGGGTGTTGAGATTAACAATCTGAGCCGGTCAGTGGCAAGGAAGACCTCTTTGAGTGGCTTACTTTGCCCTCTTGGATCACACAGTAACCACTGTGGCTCATTATGTCAATACTGGCTGAGGTGATGCATGGGGAAATTCCAAAACCTTTTTGCACATTAAGAACCCCAAATATGCCAGAATAGAGCCTTGGTTCAAAAATACTTCAGAGAAAAAAACCCCACTTCTGTGGCGCTGATGGACTAGCGGTGAGGTTGTGCCCCACAAATGTCAAAAGGCAAACAACACCAGATATTTCAGGCTCAATTGTGCAAACAGTAATCTTAATGTCAAACACCTTTCCTGAAAATGTCATCATATACAGCAAAGGCAAGACTCTCCTTCAGTCCTAATGAAATAATGGTACACATAATTGCCCTGGGTGTCTGTAGTCACTATTTACACAACAGGGATTCTAAAATAATCAGCCCTGAGAAAAATGCTTAATGAAAGCTGTATACAAGAAGCGTTATAACTTTTACTGATCCCTTTGTGGGGCAAAACTCATCATTTCACTTACAGGAACAAATCTCCTGATAGCACCTTTAACAGTGCATGCAAATGGTTTTTAATATTAAATGCCACGAACTGTTCTGAAAAATGAAGAGTGGTGAATTTATTATTAAACTAGACTTGAGATCAATAAAATGTGTGCTTCCCTCTTCACATCGAGTAAAAAGTCACACAGTCTGTGTTTTTTTAAGCGCCAAACTCATTTATACAGAGCAGATTTCTTAGTTTTGGCAGGAGTGACACAACAAACTTTTCTAATTTCTGTTTGTTAAAAAAATATTTTATAGTTTGACAGAACACAGAGTCCGAGAGTTGACAAACAGCGATGTCAGTATAAATGAGCTTTAGAAAATGGAACACCGTGTCTGTATTGTGTTGAACCAAATCATGTGCACAACTAATATTCACACAGTCTGCTCGCTTCAAGTTTAGGTGGAGGATCTTTTCTGTCAAAAACAAACTACTAAATAAATAAAATAAAATAAAAAATCCCCGCTTGTTGATTATGCCCACCCACTGAATTGTCCTTCTTCATTATACAAACATGACATCCTCCCTCTGAGGCTACATGGAAACCTCAAATGAGGCATCATACCCATAAGGGAACATGACATCAATTACAGAACAGATCAGACGTTCAGATTTATGTTAAAGCTTTTACATGTCACAGCTGCTACTATTCTTCCACAGTAATGAAACCCGCAATTATGAGCCCAACCACAAACAAACAATAGATGGTTAAGTTCAATGTTTCTTTCAACTAACAAAAACACAGGGTAAAGCAAACCCTCTAAACAAAGCAACAAGGGAACAAATCAGAAGACAGTGGAAGGCGTGTAGGTACCAGATAGACCCGAGCTTTAAATCTTCAATAGACTCTATTAACAGAGCTCTGTTAGCCAATCTATGAGACCTGGCAGAGGTCCAGGTGCTTTTGTCGGCAATTAGACCCTCTTCAAAAGGAGTTTACCGGCCCTTTTGTTAAGGCTTCATCCCGACCGTTTAAAAGCTGAGGGGACAGCCTCTCTAGAATTGAAATTTACTCCCATAAGGAATCCATTTTTTATGCTTCTATGATTGCAAAAACAAAGTAGTTGTTGCAAATGTGAGTCAAATTTGTGCAGATCTTCAGCTCCAACAGCTTTGATTGGACTTCAACTAAGAGCAAAAATCGAGCCAATAGAAGGTCTATATATCATAAAAAATGCATGAGCTTTGATAAAAAACTGAAGACTCTTACAGCATTTTATGCAAACTCCCTTGAATAAATATACTAATGAACTAAACAAAAATCTTGTAAATTCCTGTAGCTACTGACAAAGTGAGCCGATCCTTACTAAAGAGGTTCTTCCTTCCCTCCAATGTTGTAGGGAAAAAGGAATTCAACAACAGGAAATTGAGCCGCAGAGTTAAAGGAACTCCCAAAGAGGAGTTGTTGCACTGGTTCTATTAAGCTGAACAATGAGACAGCATGGTCAGTGATAGTTTGGGGCAGGTTTGAGACCCTCTGCCAAGGCCGCAGATCACTTCTAACGTTTTAAATTGGTCTAGAGAGTCATAAATATCCTTGATTTGTTGTATAAAAATTACACAAATATACAAAACATTTAATATTTAAAACCATGTGCTCAGGTTTGTAAACATCACTACACAATATAGTGACTTCATTAAACTGGAAGCAAACAACAGCAGGTCATTAGAAGACAATACAAAACTTCAACAAACATTATAAATAAAATGTGTTTTACAAGCTTTAAGTAACCTAGCTTTAAGTCATTCGAGTCAATTTGACGTCTACTAGGTCGACTGCTCAAAGAGAAGTGCTCCTAATACATGATTTAGTATAATGTCTCTCCTAAACAAAGAGAAGGGATAGTTACCACCACAGCTGCACATACAATGACACCACCAGACCATGACTCAGAGCCATGAACACACAGTCCATAAAACTCTTACCTTGGGGTCTTGTTCCAGACGGACTTGTGTTCCCCTGTGTTCCGACAGCGATCTCTTAAACACTGTACGATGTCGAAAGTGATAATAATCACCAAAAGCCTGGAAAGAAAAACAAAGAGATAAGATCAGTTATCACACAAGGAAAAAAAAAATCTCACTACCTCTCTCTGTAGTCTGATAACACCTCCTCATGTGATAATAGCTTCTACCAAGGATGAAATCACTCTGCTATTGTTACCTGTACCCTTGTTTCCGATTGAATAACTATGTCAAAATACATTTACTGAACACCACAGTATCATTTCTCAGCATCTATGGACCCAAATCAGCTTAATGCATAGAGAGGAAGCCCTATTTATTTCACTCAAGTAAAAGAAGTCCTGAGGGAAATCCATAAATGCTGGAGCCAGATTCTACTCAGGGTATACGTGTATAATGAATCCTTCTACAATCAGTGCAGGCCATAATCATTTTTTCTGCATATTGTGCTGCCAGGTGATGCTAATGAGCTGCACTAGCCATAAAAGGTGAGCTCGCAAATACAAAATACTATTTCCATTTTCACTCCCAATAACTGTCTCCAAATCCTTGCACAATACCGACTGAAATGTTCTCCTGTGTGAAACCTGACTGATGGTCCATATTCCCCAGAGCCCCCTGAGAACCAGTACAAAGAAATATTTGTACATTTAACGTTAAATATTGTGCTCATCAGCGAACTGATAAACCTTCTTTGAATACTAGCATGGAGTGTTATGCTTCATATGCTCTGAACTGTTAATTCATTTCACTAAAGAGAAAATGGGGAAATGCATTAAGACTGCGTCATTAACCAAATACACTGCACACACATTTCAGTACACAACAGATTGTAATTATGGGTCACAGAAATATTGAGATTTGGTGAAAAAACAGAGAATTAAAAGAAACAAATGAAGATTTTTCAAGCAATTCCACCAATGCTGATGTATAAGTAAAGTGCTGCAGTGTGTTCATTAACTTTCCTACACTCCAAGAGAGTCACGGCTCAGTCCCCCAAACCTGCTCTGCTCCCATTTAATCACAGTAAACATGCCGATTCCAGGCAAGCTGACACAAAATGCCCCTGCACACAAAAATCAGAGGACAATGGGGGAGGCAATAATCAAGAGGGAAGACACACTTTACAGTGATATTTAGCTGAGTGTGAAACCGTTAAAGAATGAGACCAAAGAGAAAATGCAGCAGGTTAAAGAGGATAAAAAGCTCACATCTAAAGGCATTAAGCGAGGCTGATGGTACCTCCACTGTGAAAGAGAAGAATAAGAGCAGGTAGTGGGTGCATTGTGTCGGCTCAGATAAGAGCCAGGGAGGTGGGACACTGATCAAAGACGTGGTTTAGAAGCTGAAACAGGATTCATTAAGCAATTCTAAATAATGCTAACACTAGTACAAATATGTACTGAAAGAAAAGGCTCAAACAGGAGATTTAGTCAATTCTTTAAATAATAACTACAACTTATTTCAATAAATAAATAAAGCTTTATGCTACAGATCTTTAGGTATTCTTTTTGACACCATATGCAACACATTGCAGTAAATGATATTTCTGTAGCACAAACAAAGCAGTCTGATGGACAGATTTCTCAAACAGAGATGCATCAGGATTCAATGTCAGGAACATTAAAATCCAAGAAACAGCCTCTCTGTAAACTCATCATCCTGTGAGGAACCATGTTGTGCAATCCTCTGTAGAAGCCAGACCTCAATGTGTCCAAAAGAAGCACCATCAACAGATTGTTAGACAGCCACAACACATGCAGAGTTTTATGTAACAGTGCCACTTTAGCTTTCCGTCTACTTGAAAACCACTTTCTCTCCCTTCCTCTGCTAATTGCTATCTTTGCTTTTAAGGAAAGCTGTGTGAAAAGTGTAGCAAAGCTCGCACACTTCTGAAAGTTGTCAAAAGAGAAGCTGTCTAAAATCCCTCTCTGAGGATGAGAATGTGTGTGTTATGTTTGGTTCGAAAATAACTCCTGAAATGTAATGTGAAATTAAGTCCAGTACTCATTGGTAAATGTATTTGAACTTCTAAAACAGCGTATGCATACTTCTTTAAAATTGATTTCTACTGACTCCACCTTTTGAAGAAAGATCAAGTTTAAGGAATAAAAGGAATACTTTCAAAAACTTTAGTAATTACTACAACTGCTTAACAAACATAAGTCAAGATAGAGTGAACTCAGAATGGACACAGATTTGTTCCAAGATTACAAAAACAAGAAAACAGCATGCTGTACATGCATGAATGCACACATGTATACACACAGGACTAAAGGTCACTGGACAGTGGACAATAAAAACAGCTCAACTGTTTTAAACATATGTTCATACACACACACACCTCAGTAAGTGTACTTAGGTCTTTTCCCCTCCAGCTAAACGTCCGCCCTGCAGCTCAATCCTCATCTGGTAATCAGCAGCGACACTTAAGAGCGTATGTTTGTCAGCCTTTTTATCTCAAGACAACATTGTTTCAGTGAGGTTTAACCGCTTTCCCTGGGAAAAGGCTCTTTACGACAAAGACATTTGGATGGAAAAGTGATGTGGGAAAAGACGGATGAGGCTTTGTGAGTGACCATTACTGATGTGATAAGCTGGGCACTGATGGAGCACAACAGTCTTAACTGGTGCTCTCTGAGTGGGCCTATTACTGAAGTAAAGCATTAATCCATCAACTTCATTAAAATGCACGGGAACAGGCGGCAGGAAAAATCATCGTCTGCTGGTCTGTTTGCATGTTTGCTCCCTCCTTGCCTCCCAAATTTACCTTGTGGGAAAAGCACTTATGAAAAGGGGTCCGGTGTCTCATCTCTTGTGACTGTTGACACAATTCTGTTTTACAAAGAGACAAACAGTGTCTGGAGACAAATTGTGAAAGATGTTTTGGCTGCATGTTAAAGATATGAGAGTGTTTTCCCATGAGAGAGCGTGAAGGTCAAGAACAAATCATGTGCAGTTTAGTTCTTCAGCATGAGGAGGCTGTTATTGCAGTCAAATTTCATCAAATTTCATTTTCCCTTTTAGCAATTAAGTGCAATTTGGATTTCTAGACATAAGGTTAGGTTGGCACAAGTAACATATAGGCTCCTTAAGACGTTCATCATATGTTGTATGATGATGAAGGATACTAGTTATTAAGTTCGGTGAGGTCACAGAAGCAAAAGGTTTCACCTCTCACATGAAAATGGGTTTGCACAGCTGTTTCTGCCAAACCACACTTAGTCATTATTGCATGTTCTCGCTCCATTATTTTCCACCCTTCATTATTTGTCCTGCGGCTGTCGTTCAGTCTCGCAGAGCTCATTAACCTTTAGAATTAATCTGGCATCTTTGTTGTGATTTTAACAAGCAGGAAAACAAGATTTAAAAAATGGATGTTGGTAGCATTTTCCTCATGCACTACTGTAGGGGATGTTGTACTAAAGTTGTCTAAATGTTTCTAAATAATTTGGAGTAAACCATTGAGTTTATGAAGCTTTATAAGGCAAACACAAGCTTGTGTATTTCTAAACACACTAGCCATTCTAAACACGCTGCAGGTCACCCTCCGCTGTTGTGTTAATCCAGAAAATATGGATTAAGATTCTTAACACTGCCCACTGTCTACCTTGATCGTTCTGAAGAAGGTAGATTAGTCCTTTGAATGGTGTTGACAAAAACAAGCAGAGTTAATAGGAGGCTGACATATGGGGAATTTAATTAGGAAGGACAGCTAGGAAACACCCAACTGACTGCAGTCTCTGCAGACGGGGGCTGAAAGTTGATGACAGTATCGGAGCTACAAACACGGAGTCAGAAAGCCTCAAGACTCTACAGCAATCCTGACTGGTTGTTATAAATCATAATCACAAAGTGATTTTTCACAGGTATAAATTATTAAACTGAGAATTGAATCACCAGAAATACAACAGATATTCAAACCCTTAGGTACATATGAATAAACAAATATATTTTGCTTATTTATTATTTCTTGGACAATTGAATAACTGATCTCTAAGTATTGACATATAATATTATTATATCTCCTTCTTTCTAAACTTTCCATCCATGCTGTTTACTTTCACAGTAAATACATTTGTCTGCTTCCATCAGATAACTCTGCGATGTTTGCAGATATTTAGCTTTCCCTCCACCGCAATCTTCCTATCAGTCACTCAGTCACAATCTCTGCACCATCGTGGCTCCAAAGTAAAAACATCTTTCCACGCAGTCAGTTCGAGTCTGTAGAGTCACAAAGCTGAGAACTTTTTAAGGAGAGCAAGCTCCAAGTTCTACTTTAAATCCCCCCATGCACCCAACCCTCCACTTAATGTCTCAATTTATTATTGACAATAACAGAGAAAATGGACAAAGACTACAAATGCTTGACTCTTACATATAAAGAACCTCAGGAATCAATCTTTATTTGTTTACCCAGTTCTCCCTACACTTAGTTTGGAGAATGTCTAAAAGGCAATACAAGAAATGCAATATATGGAGTTGATTGAGGTAAGCACTGTGGAAAAATACCTTCAGTGTACAGCACTATTGTGATTTTGAATATCTGACATGTGTTAAGCTGCTGCATAATTAATAGTTAAATTGACACTACTGAACTTTCTTTCCACAAAGAAGCTCTAAAAAGGGTTAGACATGATGGTGCTGCAGTCTGCCTCAAACCAAGCTCGTGTCTTCAACCGTGTCCTCTGCTGTGGGGCTTATCTGTTGATTTAACAATACTGAGGTTTAAAAGTCAGTCACCACATGTTAAAGTAAACACACATCTTTATTTACACCAGCCAAACACTGCATAAAAAATCCCAATGTCACAATACAGAATGACTTTTACACAACCTCTATCAGAAGTGTTCTGGTATGCAAAACAACGGCAGAACTTAAGATGTCACAGCTATTTACCAGCTCAGGCTAACTCGAGGTAACAGGCTGCTACAGTGAGTTCCTGTAGTGTAAGAGAACTGTGTGTGTGTGTGTGTGTGTGTGTGTGTGCTCTTTGCTGTTCTAATTGTCAGTCATGTTTGATTAAACTTGGACAGCTTACCCTTCCCGGTAACTGCTGC